TCCGCTACCAGGGAGTCGGCCCTCGTGCTCGTTCTTGAACCAGGCTGAGTGGCTGGAGGCTGCTCAAGATGTGCTCTCCCTTGTGCAGAAGTATGCCGGCAAGCTTCAAGGTGAAGCTCGTCGCGACGGTGAGGCTGGGTGGAAAAACTGGCTTCTCAGTAGAATCAAGGAGGGGGGAAAGAATGCGCATCTGGCCTCCAAGGAGGCCCCAGGTTGGATACCCACCACGACTTTGTCTGCGGGAGGGTTGGTCCTTACGGACCCTCTGAGTTTACTCAAGAGCGAGGCCTCGAGCTGGGCCAAGCTTCGGGAGGCTACCTCGGAGGCTCCTGATCGTATGTTTGAGGGGGTGTGTCAGCCTCTTCCAATGGTCCCACCAGATCGCATTAGGTCTATCTCGGCTGCCTTCAAGCAGTCCACGGCCCAGGCAGTGGACGGTTTTCACATGCGGCATTACTCGTGGCTCTCCGACGCCAGCTTGCGGGTGGTCAGCCTCTTTTTCGCGATCTTCGAATCACTCTCCAGCCTGCCGCGCCAGCTCTAGATTACCCAGGTGGTTCTTTTATCCAAAGCGTCAGGGGGATATAGGCCCATCGGTTTTTTATCCGTTTCCTTGTTTAGACTTTGGGGTAAGTGCAGAAGGGAGCTGGCCGCGGAGTGGGAGGCCAGAAACGCTCGTGCCTTTTTTATCTGGCAGTTCCTTTGCGCGCGCTGCCGACACGGCGTGGCGGCAGGCTGCGCGAGCCGAGCTTAGCACGAGGAAGGGGGGGGGTCGGCGATGCTTCTCTGGGACATGACGAAGTTTTATGAAAATTTCTCCCATCGTAGGTTGGAGGAGGAGGCCAGGAAGTTTGGTTTCCCTATTCAGATAACTCAGCTGTACATCCAGACCTACAGGTACGGGCGATTTGTTAGCATGGCCTCTGCTGTGGCGGGGCCGCTCTTTGCTCGTAGAGGGGTGGTTGCTGGTTGCTCTATGGCCACGACCCTTGTCCGTGTGTATATCCTGGGGCCGATGGGTAACCTCCGTCTTCCTAGGGGTATTTTCCCGGCTCAGTTTATTGATGACTCGGGTCTTGACTCCACGGGGAAAGCTCAGGAAGTGCTTTTCGGCATCAAGGAAGGTTCGAGGCAATTGGAGCGCGCGCTGGTCCACGAGTGCGGCTGCTCGATCTCGCTCTCCAAGGCTAGCCAGGGCAACCTTGTCTGCTCGGACGGATTGGTGGCCAGGGAGCTTCAGCTTTCCCTAGGCGACCGCACGGGACCCCTGTGCGATAGCGTCGTGGATCTTGACATTGATTTCACGGCTGGTCGGCCCAGGAGGAAAGCGTATATCAAGGAGGCCCTCAGAGAGTCCAAGTTCAAGATACGCATGGTCAATATGAAGGCAAAAACGCGAAAGGTCAGGGGCCAGAAAAAAAACATATCACCTCCCATGCCAAAAAGATCTGGGTCTCGGGGCCGCTTCCTGGGGTCCTGTATGGATCCGGGTGCCATGGGGTGTCGGACGGTGAGCTCCGCCGTATTCGGCAGCAGGCGGGTTCCGTGATGGGACCTAGTTGTAAAGGGAGATCTCTTACAAGCCTCCTCATCTTGGAAGACGAGCCCACTTGGCTCGCGGCGGTGGCACCTCTTGTTAGGTATTCAAAGGAAGTCTGGTGTGCCCACGCAGGCGCATACCGTTGGTGTTTCAGCTTCGCGGAGCTCCGTGAGGCCTGGTGCATTTTCTTCCAGAAGAAGCCGCCGACCACGTGGCGCGAGGTATCGGGTCCGTTCTCGGCCATGTACATGTGCCTGCAGAGAATCAATCCAGTGGAAGTTCATAGATTGGGTCACTCTGGGATTTCGGGGAGAAGTTGGTTTTGACGGAGGTCAGCCCAGGGCTTTTGAAGGTCTTGTTGCGACATGCTGTGCTTCGGAGCCTGGAGCGGGTTGCGGCCCAAAAATTCCTCTTGGAGGTCCCGAGGTTATGCTACGATGTGCTCAAGCGGGCACTTCATTCGAGCAAGGTTTCACCGACTGGCGAAGCGGCTATCATTTTGATCGGTTGTGATGCCAGCTGGACACGAGTCAGAGCGCGCTGTCTTGGTTATCCGCTTGAATCTATCGAGTGCCCACTGCGCGGTCAAGGACCTGACGCGCTGCTGCGCAGATTGTGGCATTGCAGAGCCTGCGCTGAGGAGCGAGCTGAGATAGTAACAAAGAAGTGCCAGGAGCTTGTGGACTCTTTGGGCGAAGGAAGCCCTCAATATTTTCTCCTACTCACCCGAGGCATATCCCCGCACCCAGGTGACTACTGGCCCCGACCCGACAAGGGGTGTAAGACCTTGTGGCAATTGGAGGAGGACGTCAAGGAGGATGAGCAGGTGGTGACGGGGGAGTTGTTCCTGGACGGGAGCTGTACCAGGTCTATTGTGCCAGAACTCAACAGGGCGGCCTGGGGTCTTGCGATTTTCGATCGGGCCTTCAGGTTCCTGGGACGTGTTTTCGGCACCGTTTATGCTGCCCCCCCCCAAAACTTCCCAGGCTGGGGAGTTTGCTGCCTTTGGGTGCTCTAGCCAGGTGGTTGAAGGCCAGTGTGATATGTATACTGGTTGTGCCAACGTTTATGTCCAGGCTAATCGACCCCTGGGTGACCAGTTACATTATCAGAGACCCTATGCTGGGCTATTGTTGCACGGCCAGAAGGTGTCTCACTATATACAGTCGGTGAGGAACGTCAAAGCACACCTTTCCCTCGAGGAGGAGGGTGTACCATACGATGAAATGCAGCTCCGCCGAGGCAATTTCCAGGCCGATCAGGCCGCGAAGGCGGGTGTCCGCCTGCGCGAAGAACCCTCCCCAGACCAAGTGCAGGCCCTGGACGAGGTTTTAATTGTCGCCCAGACTGTTTGCAAGCTTGCGGCGGCGCTGCTGTTTAAGTGGCCCAGGCTCGATTTGAAAGATGTGGAGTTTCGCGCCCCAGAGGGGCGGGCCAGCGGAGCGCGCCCTGACAGCCCCCAACATGACTGGGAATTCGTGGCGGGCAGGTGGAGATGCCGTGTCTGTCTCAAGGCCTCTCGGTCTCAGCTCCGCCCACCCTCGTGCGGTTGTTCGGGAGTGTGTGGGGATTGGGATTTCTCTGAGATGGAAAGGAATGGCCATTTCGTCGTCGGCCTGCCCTGTGACGACGGCTCTGTACTACATATCTGCACGCGGTGTGCTAGCCATGTTGGTCACGGGTCTCTAAAGAAGTCCAACCTCAGTGGCAGATGTGACCAGAAGATGACAGCTCGGAAGAGATGTCTGTGGCGCCGAGTGCTGAGAGGGCTCTACCCCAGGTACTGTTCCACACTGAGGGTAGACCCTGAAGGTATCCGAGACCTCTGGGAGGGGACGGCTTGGAGTTCGGAGTGTGGGGGGGGGGGGGGAGCGATGCTGCCTCTTCTGCTGGGCGCCAGGCTGTCTCAGTGACAGCGGGTGGTGCCGACCCGCGGGCTGCCGAGGTGGAGGCGGCCCATGGCTTTTTCGAGGAGGATCTTCGGATTGAGTTGCCCAGTGCTCCGCCCCCGCGTCGGCGTGGAGCTAGAGAGGCACCTTTTGTCTCGGTGCTCGCGCACCGCGATGAGGGCGACTCAAGTTCAGACTAACGCCTGGGGGAGAAGCAGCTTGCCACGGGGAATCCTCCAGCCAGCTGGAGATGTCTGCTGTGGCCTCCTGCCTTTCCTCACCTGTTCAGGTGTTAGTTTTGTGCTGGCATTGGCCAGCCAGCCTGCTCTAATTGTCTGGGCAGGCACCCTCATTTGATGTTGATGTTGAAAAACAAATCCTCCTCCTCCTCCTCCTCCTCCTCCTCCCTCCTCCTCCTCCTCCCTCCTCCCTCCTCCCTCCTCCTCCTCCTCCTCCCCTCCTCCTCCTCCTCCTCCTCCTCCTCCTCCTCCCTCCTCCCTCCTCCTCCTCCTCCTCCCTCCTCCTCCTCCTCCTCCTCCTCCTCCTCCTCCTCCTCCTCCTCCTCCTCCTCCTCCTCCGCCTCCTCCTCCTCTCCTCCTCCTCCTCCTCCTCCTCCTCCTCCTCCTCCTCCTCCTCCTCCCCCTCCTCGGCCTGCCCCCTCGGGTCGCCCACGGCCCCGGGGGAAACCGTCCAGGGTAGGGGGAGCGGGAAGGCTTCTTGGAAGCACTCCTGCCTCTTACAAGGCGCGGGCCTTGTCTAAAGATGTGAGACAGGCGCCTTCGAAGAAACAGCCTCCTCCTAAGAAACCCTCCCCCCTCCCCCATACTTCCTTTGTGCGCGCCGCCCTGCGCAGACGTTTCCAGACCCCCGGCGCTATTTTTGTTCTCCATGGCGTGCGCTCCCAGTGGCCAGGACCCCTTCCCCAGGGTCGGCTTCTCATCCCGCGTCTTGTGATGCTCCAACCTACTTTAGCCTGATTCACCAGAGAACATTTCGAGCACCAAGAAAGTACCGAAACTGGAGGGTCTTCACGTGTCGAACTCTGGGAGACGATATTGGTTCGACACTGTTTCGATGCTTTTCGGGGTGCTCGACATTATTTCTGGGATCTGGTCCTGAAGTGCGATGGGAGCAACAGAACCCCCGTTGTTTCGTGACGGTCGCAGGGCCCGTGAAGGGCCCCTGGAGGCCGAGAGTGGCGACAGAAGCGCTCGCCGCGCTTCTTCCGCCACGGCTGCGGCTGCCCCGACCGCGGGAACCCGCTCGCCGCAGGCCAGGCCAGTCATGCCTCACGACCCGTGGGGGTCTCGGAGCCTCGGCCTCTCCGCCGCTCCCTCGAGGGGGGGGAGGTGGGGCGTGTTGTCTTGGGAGGAGCGGCGTGGCTGGGGGCCGGAAGCAGGAAGGGGGGGGGGGGGGGGCGGCATGAGGCGAGACCGGGGGGGGGGGGGGGCGAGCGGCAGGGCGGGGGGCAGGGGGCCAACCTCAGGAGGGAGCTGGCCTCGGGAGGGGGGGGGGAGCGGCAGGGCGGGGCGGGGTGCTGGCCTCAGGGGGGGGGGGGGGGCGGCCTCCAGGCGTACATCCACTCCGCAGGCGTGCTGCACCGGGACGTGAAGCCGGCCAACGTTCTGCTGACGAGGCCCCGCGGCCCTGCCATCGCAAGGGGAGGGGCCCGGGCCAGGCAGGGCCGTGCCTGCGAGCTGCTTCGATGCGGCTCGATGTTCGCCGGCATCGGCATGGGCCAGCAGGGGGCTGGCGCGGCGATCCGACTTCGGTTCCATTCGTGGCGATTCGCTGGCGCTCCCGTCCGCTTCAGATCCCACCAGGTTTCGCGGTCCGATTCGGCTCAGGCGTGCTGGGCGAATGTCCACCCGGCATAGGTGTCGCCGCGCCGTCTGTTCCGACGCGCGGTCTCAAGTCTTGGGGAGGGCGCCGCGGTCACCAGGGCAAGCGCCGCCTCGGGCGCAGGGCTCGCCGCGGGGTTTGTCTCGTTGCCGGCCTCGTCTACTTGGGCGCCAGACGCAAGGTTTGCCGTGGGCCTGCCGTGGTGTCGGCGTCGTCCAGCTGGGCGCGTCGAGAGCAAACGGCGCGCCGACTTCGATCGGACTGGAGGTGCCGTTCGGCGGCGAGCGACGGGGGGGAGCGAGAAGGGGCGGGCCTTCTCAGAAGGCTCGGAAGTCCCCCGGTCTTCCAAGAAGACTCCTTGGCCCTTCAGATCAGAGCCCCGAATCATCAGGGGTAGCTCGGGTCAGGGCTAACTCGGGTTCGTTTTTCGGGATTCCGAACCCGACTTACCTCGGACCCGACTTACCCCAGATAATTCTGGCGTCCAGAGCCCCGAATCATCAGGGGTATCTCGGGTCAGGGCTAATTCGGGTTCGTTTTTCGGGAATCCAAACCCGAATCACCCCGGACCCGAGTTACCCCGGATAGTTCGGGCGCCCAATCTAGAAGGCGCGAGGGCTTCTGAGAAGCCCCGCCGCCTTCTGGGGAGGCCTGCTCCTTCTCGCTTCCCCCCCCCCCCCCTCGGCGCGCCGCCGATCAGCGGTCAGCATCGGCCCCCAGGCCCTTCCCCTTGGCATCGCTCGGCCGCGTGCGTTTTTCCTTGGCGAGAACCGTCGAGGACCATCGTGGACCATCGAGCAATTAAAAAAACGCACGAAACCGAAAAATGCACGGGGAATGGACGTCCGAGCCATGGCAAGCCCCAGGGTCCACCCGACGCGGTTTCTTATTCTGGATCGATTTTCGAGGGCCCTGGGGCTCGAAGACGGCCCCCAAAGGCCCTAAAAACAAGGCACAGCCGCCTCGAACCTCGAAGTGCGGACCACCTCGAAGTTCCCAGTTCCCCCCCCCCGCCCGGAGCCGACCACGGCTCGGGGGGAGCGCTGTGTGCCAGGAGCGCGCCGGCGTCGGCCAGGTCTTGGGCGGCCCTGGAGGGTCGGCTACGCGTAAGAGTGACCCTTCGCCGGAGTGACCCTTGGTGCGGATCCACTGGGGTCCCCCGATCGCCGAGCGCGATGCGGTAGCAGCGTCTTTCGTTCTTGTGTTCCCCCCCCCCTGGCGGCCCCAAAACGGCCGCGCACCAAAGGTCACTCTTGTGATCGTTTTCTTATTCATTGTTTTGCCGATCGGCGCGGGCCCTCGCACCCCCCCTCCCCCCTCCATGGAGTAGAACTTGGCTGTTTTTGGCGCTTGTTTCGAGCAGGTGGAGCTTCCCCCTCATAGGACACACCGTTGCAGACAGCAGCGTGAAGCAGAGATCCGGAGCCAGACCCCCCCCTCTCCTCCCCCCGCCGCCCAGTGTCGAAACGCTGGATAAGAAAACGCTCACAGAGGTCACTCTTACCCAGGGTCGCTCTTGACTGTAGTCTTATGTCGGACCTGTCCCTCTACAGGAGGAATATTCAGAAATAGCAAAAATTAATCGGGGGAATACTTTGTGACTATTTTGGAGCATTTGGGGGGTCTTTTGGAGGGCATGTTTACTCTGCTGCCCCAGAATCCCCCCGTAGGGGGACGTACCCGACTTAACTGTAGTCGAGAGGGGACCCCGCGCATCCGACGCGCTATTCTCGAGTATCTAGATGTCCGAACTCGGTCTGCTACCAGAGCCAGGACCAACAAACTCTTCGTACTCTGCGAATTGTTTGAGAGTTGATGATGAGCTTCTTGACGCAACTCGAGCTGCAACGGTTCTCCCCGGCGTGCCCAGCCTTCGCCCAGCCCTCGAGCGCCGCTGGCGCGCTCATGGCGGAGCAGGGGCGCCCGCGCGCGGAGGGTCGGCTCTGCCGTGGCAGTCTCGGGGTGCAAACATCGGCGGCGCGCCCAGGAGAGGGGGGGGGGGGCCTCCCTCCTCCCTCCCTCCCTCCCTCCCTCCTCCCTCCCTCCCCCCTCCCTCCCTCCTCCCTCCCTCCCTCCCCTTGCTCCCTCCTCCCTTCCTCCCTCCCTCCCTCCTCCCTCCCTCCCTCCCTCCCTCCTCCCTCCTCCCTCCTCCGGGGGGGAAGGAAGGTCCGAACCTCGAGGTTCGAGGCGGTGTTTCTCCGTTTCTCGGCCATCGGGCCCCGGGACCATCGAGAGTCGATCCGGGACGAGAGGCCGCGTCGGATGAGGAACCGCGTCGGCATCTGCAGGACCCCAGGAAGGGTCCGGGGACCGATTCGGACCGATGTGTCCGGCGGCGCGCCGAGGGGGGAAGTGAGGCGGGACTTCCCAGAAGGCGGCGGGACTTCTCAGAAGCGCTCGCGCCTTCTGAGAGGTTGTCTGCGTCTCCGGGAAGGCTTCGGCATCTTCTCAGACGGCTGAGGGACTTCCGAGCCTTCTGAGAAGGCCCGCCCCTTCTCGCTTCCCCCCTCGCTCACCGCCGAAACAATCGTCACTGCGCTGAGACTAGTTTCGTCTGTGGGCCTCGTCAGTCCACTAATGAGCCCCAGATGGCAGCAGTGCGCGAGCGATCTACAGTCAAGATGCGGTGGTAATACAGTCAAGATGCAGTGGTAATCAAAGCACGATGCGGTGGCAGTAAAATCAAGAGGCGGTTTGTTTCGGGGGTGGGGATACGGTCTGGCCGAGGCATACCCGTCGGCCGTTAGAAGTAGGTGTTGTTGGGATCTCCTGATCCAATCTACTCGAAACGCCTTCCTCCTTCAGGAATCGATATGCTTCTGCTGTGCGTTCTTAATTCTCTGGGAAGGCCTGAGCCCAATCTACTTTATCCACCCTTTCTACTTCATGTTTTGCCTACGTCTTCCAGCCGTTGTGTAAGATCGAGGTCGGTTCGGGGAGGGTGCCCCGAATTTCGTGATAAAGGGGGCGGGGGCTGTCACAACCATCCCAGACGAGCAAGTCTAGAGTCCCCCAGACTGGCCACGAAAGGGCGGCCTTTTGCCCACATCCACCTGGAACTCTCCAAGACAGCTCAACTCAGACCCCCACCCAACTCAGACCCATCTTTTCTGGTGAGATCCGGAGTACCCTAATGTTCTTGGTGTTTGTCGGATGGCCTTGTGCATCCTGGGGGATGGTACCCTCGAATGTTCTCCCGTTTGCGCGGCGCAGGGTCTCATGCTCTTGAAGGATGTGTTTCTTTCTTAGGTCTGGCCACAGGGGGGAGGGAGGAAGGCTTCTCTGGAGCACCCCTGTTTCCTAGAAGGCGCGGGCCTTGTCTACAGATGTAGGGCCAGCGCCCTCTAAGAATCAGGAGGGAAAAAACACACAGACACAATTAATCGTCGATTCCCCAGAAAATATGGGAACCTATGGGAAGTGGGGGGAAGACGAAAACATAGAAAATATAAGAAAAGATGGGGAATATTATTCTTTGTGTGTATCTATTTGTGTGTCCCAGGGGCCCTTCAAAGAAGCAGCCTCCTTCGACGAAGCCTTCCCCCGTCCCCCCACCCCGTGCCCGTGGGCGCGCCGCCAGAGAGAGCGGTGTCCGCGCGCAGGTGCTTCCGCGAACACGCCTTGGACGCACCGTGCCGCGCTGGCCTCTCCCGAGGCGCAGTCGATCCTCGACCCTCGGGAGCCGTACCTAGGGGAACAAAAAGTGGCATAGGCATAGAAACTCGGAGGTCCGCGCGGATTTCTCGGATCCGCGCTGGACCCCCCTCCCTGGCGCGCGCAGAGCGCGCCAGGACACTGCGCCTGGGCACGGCGCATCGTGCACTCCGGCCCTCCGGGCCGACCAGCTGCTGCGGGTTTCTTGAGCAGCGTGGGAGGGTACTACCCCCCCCCCGTAGGGGTTCAACCTCGCCCCGTTGGAGCGCCTTCGGCGCGCGGTGGCTGCCCACGACGGGGGTCGATGCGGGGCTGTCGGCGGGGGTGGCGCCCCCCCGACGGTCATCAAGAAACTCGGAGTGTGCACCGTGCCGCGTTGGAGCGGAGCCTGAAGGGATTTTTTAAACATGGTACGGTGCACAGGCGCCGTTCTCGTGGTGCATTCGGCAGGTTTCACCACCGTGCTGGCGCACCACTCTTGTACGGTGCGTGCGTGCGTTCGTCGAGGAACGTGCTGAGGAGGCTTCAGACCCTTGAGGGTTCCTTATCTGATGAGGGTCGCCGTGATGTCCAGGGCCAAGCCTGAATTGGAGTTCCGCAAGGTTTCAGACCCTGGATCCCTGATCCAAAGGTTCCCTATCCGATGTTGATCCGATGCCCTCACCGTGCGCCCTCGCTTCCCCGGGTCCAAGGCCGTGCCACGTGGCAGGCTCGCTTTCCAGACGAAGGAACGGCCGTGACAGGGAGGAGGGGAACGGCTGGACGGCAACGGGGGGGCAATGAGCTCAGGTGGGATCGAGGATTGCAGGAAAGTGTCCCCACAAGGCCCTGAACTGCCACCTTGGGCCCAGACAGGTGCACGGACGTTGCACGTGTCTTCACCCCATGCTTGTTGCCCCCCCGTTGAGGAGCACCTGAGAGGGGGAGCATGGACAGGTTGTGTAGGTACTGACTCTTGGGCCGCCTTTGGGCTCCCTTGGCACGGCCTTGGGGCATCCTGGGGATCTGCGGGAGCGTCTTCGGCGCCTCTCAGTGCCTTTGGGGTTGCGCCGTCCGTCGCGGAACGCTTTGGCGCCCTCGGGTGCCCCGCCTGGGCCGTCTTGGGCATCTTCGGAGGCTCCTCCTTTGGCAACTCTGGGCTCGCTTTGGGGCCCTCTCCGACACTCCGTGTGTCATCTTACTCTGGAATGCCGGGGGGCAGCTGCATCTCTGCACAGCTTCAGAAGTGTGAGTGAGTTGGGGTGTCTCGGCCTTCTCTTTGGTACTCTTGGGGCTTCACTTCGGTCATACCGGACATCTTGGATGAGTTCTCGGGCGGGCTTGGAAGCCGGCTTGGCCACCTTGGATACCGCCAGCAAGGCGTCGGGATTCCGCCCAGATCGATTATGAAGAGGGGAGGCCGGCGTCCCCTGCCTCCTTCCCCTCCTCGTTTTCTCCTCTTCCGCCTTCTCCTCCTCCTCCTCCTCCTCCTCCTCCTCCTCCTCCTCCTCCTCCTCCTCCGCTCCTCTTCCTTATCAACAACTCCTCCCTGTCGCACCCCGTCACCGGGTGGTAGGGAAGGCGGGGCGTTTCGCCTGAGGCTTCCTCACCACTTGCCATCTTGAAGCTTGGCATTTGCGAGAGGTTCATTGATGGAGGGCGGGCAGTTTTCGAAATGATGCTCTCGCCTGAGTGCCGCGCACATTCGCTTTAAACATGTGCAATAGTGTCACGAATGGAGGACGACTCCTTTTCAAATTGTGGGTCTCGCCTTAGCGCCGCAAGCATTCGTCATAACAGTTTGCAGCATGATCAAGGATTCTGACATGTCCCAGGAAAGGAGTGTTTCGGCACGACTTCGGATTGTCTGGGCGCGACAGCCACGTTGGTTCGCAGTGTAGACATCCCAGAAGTTCTGTTCTGGCGCGATTTAAGATCGCCAGGTCGCACCAGTAGCGTTGATTCGCGGCGTTGAAGTCCCAGGAATAGTTATCTGGTGCAGTTGCCGATTTTCAGACTGTTGTTTTGCAACGGGGCTCTGCTCGCAGTGCAAATCGATCCTTGTATGAGGCTGTGTAAAGGGAACTTCGAGGGAGCGTTTATTGCAACATTGTCGATCAGCCTTGGGTTTGCACTGGTCCTTCTCCTCCTCTTCCTTCTCCTCCTCCTCCTCCTCCTCCCCCTCCTCTTCCGGCTGCTCAGCCTACCTACGACCTTGCGCCGAAGGCGGCGTGGTCGGACGACTTTGCATCAGTCGGCGATCTGGGGAGAGCCCTCGCCCTGGCGGTGACGAAGAGAGTGTTCGTCTGCGCCACCCACCGGGGGAGGGCCGACGCAACTCGGGGAACAATCAATGACATAAACATACAGCCTCAAAGGTCAGCACGGATTCCTCGGATCGGCGCTGGGACCCCCTGGCGGAAGGAAGGGGGGTCTAGCGCCGATCCGAGAAATCCGCGTGGACCTCCGAGCTTTTATGTTGATGTCACTGCTTGTTCCCTAGTGACTGTGAGTGACCCCACTGGTCGTCCCTTTTATCTCGCCATCGTTGCTTCGACCCAGAGGAGAATGCAAGCACCAGAGTGTGAGGAGAGGAGGGAGGGTTTAAGAAGCAAAGGCCACAACCAGACACCATCTTGGCATCGTGCCACACCCCGACTTGCCAGGGGCATCAGTGCCACCGTCCCAGGTTCTGACGCTCAGTACAAGCAGAGCTACGTGAGCGCACCATCGTGTGAGCGACGCAAGAACGGTGTCGTCTGCGCTGACGTCGGCGCGTAAGTTGCCCGCGTAAGGTCGCGCGTGCGCGCCCTCACGTCAAATATGGCGTGCCGCGCGGGCGGCCCGCGTAAGCCACCGCGTAAGGTCGCTACGTCATCTCGTGTAAGCCCGCTCCCATTCGTCGCCCAGTTGTCGTATCGCATGCAGCGATCTGCAAGCCGCGCACGCCGAAGGCGGGAGCGCCCACCTCCAGCCCCCCTCTGGGCCTTCGGCCCACTGCCCGAACGGCGCCCGCAGAGGTGCTCGCAGCGCATCAAGCTGGCGGACTTCGGCATCGCCAAGCTGCTGGAGAGGACGGCCGCGCCTTGCCAGCGAGCGGGCCCAGCGTCGCTGCTGGCCACCTCCCTCCCCCGCTCCCTCGTTGCGCCCCCCCCCCCTTCCTCTCCGGCGATATTTCCCCCCCAATCCCAAAATTCCGCCCCAAAAAGTTTGGCCGCTCAGACGAAGGGGGAATCCCTTGGGTACACCCCAAGGGGGCTGCCTGGACGCACCCCGACCGAGGATGGACGCCCCCCCCCATCGTATATCCCAGGGTTGGGCCCAAACTGTTTGGTCCACTCGAGAACACCACGAAGCCTGGGACAGGGGTCGTCATACAGTCGGGGCGCTGGAGAAGAAACCATTTTCGTTGGGGAGGGGCTCCGTGTTCCTTAGTTGTTTTACAGTTCGCCCCAGATGTTCCGCAGGTTTGTTGATGGGAAACCGAAGTTATTAACTTATGGGAAAATTGGCCTCGCTCCTTACTCAGGGTTCCTTAAGTCAACGCCCCGACTGTATCCCCTGTCGCCTCCCTCCCCGCCCGCCCCTTCGCACCGCCCGTGCCGTCCCCCCTGCCCTTTCCTCCGCGGAACCCCCTGAATGTCCTCGCGGCCCCCGTCCGCGCACTCCTCTGATCTCTGCCCCTCCCTCCCGTGTGCCGCACCTCCTCGGCGGCACGCTCCGGTCATCCGGCTTGCCTTATGCTGCCGCAGAGGAGAACGTATGCCTCCCCCCTCCCCCCTCCTCCCTCCTCCTCCTTCTCCTCCTCCTCTTCTTCTCTGATCCTCTTCTCCTTATCTCCTCTTCTCCTCCTCCTCCTCCTCCGCCTCCTCCCCCTCCTCCTCCTCCTCCTCCTCCCTCCCCCCTCCTCTCCTCTCCTCTCCTTTCCTCTCCGCCACACCCAGTACAGCGTTTCGTGGCCGTATAGGGAGTTCCACCGAAGGTCCCAGTGTTACCGCCCACGTGCGTCCGCCCGCACCCAGTACAGCGTTTCGTGGCCCCACAGGAAGCACCACCGACCGCCCGCATGCGTCCGCCTCTCTCAGTACAGCGTTTCGTGACACCGGAGGGAGCTTTTCCGAAGGTCCCAGTGCTACCGCCCGCATGCGTCTGCCACACCCAGTACAGCGTTTCGTGGCCCCGAGTCACCTCCCGGCCTCCTCCCCTTCTTCCCTCTTGCCATCCGAGACTTTGCTCTCTGCGTGCGCACCATGTCGGCACACCCATTACACGCTTCGTGGCCCCATAGGGAACTTCACCGAAAGTCCCAGTGCTACCGCCCGCATGCGTCCGCCACACCCAGTACAGCGTTTCGTGGCCACCGGGGGGGCTCCTCCGAAGGTCCAAGAGCTACCGCCCGCATGTGTCAGCCACACCCAGTACAGCGTTTCGTGGCCCCACAGGGAGCTCCACCGAAGGTGCCAGTGCTACCGCCCGCATGTGTCCGCCACACCCAGCACAGCGCTTCGTGGCCCCAGAGGGAGCCCCACCGAAGGTCCCAGCGCTACCACCCGCATGCTTCCCCCCCACGCCATGCAGCGCTTCGTGCCCCCATACGGAGCTCCACCGAAGGTCCCAATGCTACCGCCCGCATGCGTCCGCCACACCCAATGCAGCGTTTCGCGTCCCCATAGGGAGCTCCACCGAAGGTCCTCATGCTACCACCCGTATGCGTCCGCCACACCCGGTGCAGCGTTTCGCGGCCCCATAGGAAGTTCGATCGAAAGGTCCACTGCTACCGCCTGCATGCATCCGCCACACCCAGTACAGCGTTTCGTGGCCACAGAGGGAGCTCCTCCGAAGGCCCCTGTGGCACTTTCCGCATGCGTCTCCCCCACCCAGTACAGAGATTTGTGGCCCCATGGGGAGCTCCACCGACGGCCCCACTGGCACCGCCCGCATGCGCCCCCCCCACCCAGTGCAGCGCTTCGTGGCCCCATAGGGGAGCTCCACCGAAGGTCCCAGTGCTACCGTCCGCATGCGTCTCTCCCACCCAGTACAGCGTTTCGTGGACCCAGTGGGAGCTCCACCGAAGGTCCCAGTGCTACCGCCCTCATGTGGTTTCCCCACCCGGTGCAGCGCTTCGTGGCCCCATTAGGAGCTCCACCGACGGCCTCACTTGCACCGTCCACCTGCGTCTCCCCCACTCAGAACACCGTTTCGTGGCCCATAGGGAACTCCACCGGAGGCCCCAGTGGCACTTTCCGCATGCGTCTCGCCCACCCAGTACAGCGTTTCGTGGCCCATAGGGAGCTCCACCGAAAGCCCGAGTGGCAGAGTTCGCATGCGTCTCCCTCGCCCAGTACAGTGTTTCGTGGCGTGTAGGGAGCTTCACCGCAGACGATACCCACACTTTCTGAACTCATAACCTCATATGGTTGGGTCCTTCGCCAGGCTAATTGTTTTTGCTTTTTAGCCTCCGTCTTCTGGCGCGTAACGGTCGCTACCTGGACCCTCCCTCCCCCCCTCCCCCCCCTCCCTCCCTCCCTCCCCCCCTCCCTCCACAATTAATTATTCCATATGAATGCTACTCTCCTCTCTCCCCTGGTGACGTCCGGGAGGCCCCCCTCCGCGTGCTGTTTTTTTGCAAAGGATTCCCCGGATGTTTGAGATTTATACATATATATGTATAGAACATGATTTGTTTGAAGAAAATATTATGTCAAATGCTGCTCTCGCTGAAGCGCTGGCCTCATTTTCGGGCTACCGCTCGTTCCGAATCGTACTCCCGTTGCAGCGCTGGCCTCATTTCCGCGCTTCCGCTCGTTCCGAATCGTGTTTCCGCTGCAATGTTGGCGTCAATCTTTCCAGCGCCATGCCACGGCATGGTTTTCGGTCTTTCCAAATGGGCCATCAAATCTAAAAAATGCACCCCGAACAAAAACATCGTATATGACTACACATTCGTTGTCGATTCGTTAATTTTTTGGGCCGTAGAAACCCCTGGGGACCTTAAAAAACGATCAGGCTGGAAAGCGCCGATCCGACTTGACCCCGTGAGGGGTCTTGTGGCCCAGCGTGAGCCGATTGTTCAAGGAAACCGGGCCATCGAGGCTGGCAGTCTGCCGTACTATTCCCTGACATGTGTCCTCGCCCGCCGCAGCTTCCTCCGCCGCCGCCGCCGCCGCCGTCGTCGTCTGCGTCGTTGTCGCCGTCGGCAAGGTCTTCGCGTTCCCTGGAGCTTCTGGAAGTCTTCGGGCCATCCGTCACGCCTGATGCAGAGCTGTCCAGGGAGCCCACGGGGACTTGGAAGGGAGCTCGAGACGCAAGGCAGCGTGTCGAAAGGAAGGCGGGGGGCCTTACGCTATTACAGTGCCCCTACCAGACGGCACTTGGCATTCGAAAGCGCCCACATCGGGCAGGCACGAATGCGCAGGACATGGAGCCCGGATTCCGGACAGGCCTTCTAATTTCGTACACGGGCCATTCACCTTCCAAGGCATCTTGCGCCAAGCCATGGTATGCAATGCGATGTTGCGTTGTGCTCCGCTGTGCGATGCCATGCTTTGCGGTGTTACGCTGTGTGATGCAATGCTACACTACGCAATACCAAGCGCCAAGCCATGCTATTAGATGCTGTGCTCTGCCGCGCTCTTCTCCACCATGCTATGCCGTTCTTCACCATGCATCGCAAACCCTCTCGGGATCATATTTCTTGCTCAACATCAGCCTGTGCGCATAAAGAGGAGATCTGCGCCATGGTACGGGTTGGGAGGGAGGGGTATGACGACAGATATGACGCGAACGCGCCTAGCTTGCCCCCCCTCCATCCCTCCCTCCCTCTCTCCCTCCCCCCTCTCCCCCCCATTCCCTCCCGGAGGTGCCTGGAGCCACCTCCCCCATCGCCCCGACGTGCCCCAACCGCCCAATCGTTGCCGTTGCCCGCGGCCCCAGCCCGCCCCCCCAAGGTAATGATCGTTACCGGACATGTTAAGTAGGAAAGCAGTGTCGTCGGCCCTCCAGGGGTGACAGACGCACTCAGACAGCTCATGGTACATGCTCGACTCGATGGTGGGCGCTTTCTGGCCATGCGGCTTGGGCGGCGATGTACGATACGATGTCTGTGCCATGTGTTCGTCTCGGACGTGCGCCTCCAAGGGCGGCGCGCGCTGCTGGTGTGTGTGTGTGTGTGTGTGTGTGTCCTTCTGCGCCTCCAAGGGCGGCGCGCGCTGCTGGCCCCCCTCTTCCCCGTGATTCGGACTCGGTCCTCCTCCGAGCCCGAAGCAGCACAGTTGGGGGGTGGGCAGTGGCATGGGGCCCCCAGGTGCCCGTGCAGGGCCAAGGCCAGCCTTGGATCCAGGGGGGAGGGTGAAGGGCGAGCACGTGCTCGGACGCAAAAGAGGTCTCTCACCTTAGAAAGTCCAGGGTTCGCTAGGGACTGGCTTCCTGCCAAGACAGCCGACCCCCCCCCCCGAAACCCTCCGAAGACCCTCGGGAAGGGTTCCAGGAGGCGTTTCGGAGGGTTTCTGGAGGGTTTTGGGAGGGTCTCCGTCGCTCCGGTGCGAAACCGGTCCCTGGCGAACCCCGGGTTTTCAAAGTCTCACTCGTCGCTCGTCCTGCAGCGTTCCTCCTCCTCCCCGGGGGCCCCGCGCCGCAGGACGAGCCACGCCATGACGGTGGTCGGCACGCCGTACTACATCTCGCCGGAGATCGCGATGGGGCACGCGTACGGGGAGGCGCGGCGCCGCGCCGCGCGGAACGATGCGGTCCACGCTCTGACAGTGAGGGCGTGCGACTTTTCTCAAGGTTTCCAAGGCATCTTTTTTCCCGGTGAGCGACTTTTCTCAAGGTTTCCAAGACATCCTTTTCCCCTTCGGCCCATCCTTGGCCGCTCTCGTGGGCCGCGCCCCATGTGGGTCTGTCGGCACGGCGCCCTGGCCCCGTCGCCTCGTCCTCCCCCTCGTCCTCCTCGCCCGCTTTCGCTCGCTCTTGCGTGACGAAGTTCGTGACATTCTCGTTGCGTGTGCCAGTGTATTTCAAGCCACCTCCTCGCCCCCCAAAAGATTGCTTGCAGCACCAGGCGCCATGTTTGGCCGATCCGCGAGCAAACAACGGCAACCTCTGTTGGCCGCGCGCCCCGCTCGAAAAGTGCAGGCACGGCCTTCCGCGGCCCTTGCAGAGCCTCAGCGTGGGTCCTTGCTTTCAGTCTTGGCCGCAGGCGTCGTGGTGGAAGGGGCCCCGCCCCGAGAGCGAGAGAGAGAGAGATCGAGAAGCCGGCGCCTCCCCCTCTCGGCCGAGGGCGGCCGAAGGCTGGCGGGGGCGGGCGCGGAAGCCTGGCGAGGCCGGCTCCGCCCGCGGCAGGTCTGGGGAGGCTGGCGGGAGCAAACGTCGGCCCTCGAGGTGATCGTCGTTGTTCATCGTTTTGCCCATCGGCGCGGGCCCTCGCACCCCCCCCCCGCCTCTCCCCCCCCCCATGGAGTAGATCTTGGCAGTTTTTGGAGCGCGTCTCGGGCAGGTGGAGCCTCCCCCATGGGACGCACGGTTGCACACAGTCGCACCAAGCAGAGGTCCGTGCCTAGCCGAACCCCCCCCCTCGGCCCAATGTCGAAACGCCGAATATGAAAACGCTCGCAAGTGTGATTCCAGAAGGCTCGCAGGCCTTCTCACCCATTTCCCGCTCTCCCGCTCTGTCCCTTACGCCCGCTTTACCGCAACCGTTTTTATTCACACTGGGGCCCTTGGCCTTAGAGCTACGCCCCTCGCCGCGCGAGTGAGAAGATCCATCGACTATCTTCCATATCACGACAAGGACGTGCCAACACTTTGGGAAGGCGCTGCCACTCCGGGCCCGGGCCCAGGATGGGGCTCCTCGGCTCCCGGGCCCCTTCTCTTGGATCGAGGCCGCGGGACCCGCTCGAGGAGGCCGAGGCTCGCCGTGGCCGGGAACGCCAGCTCGTGGTTTACTCAGCCCTCCCGATGGGACCGCGATGGCTGTCACGTCACGTCGGGCATGTCCCCCTTACGGGCCGACGGGAGGAGCATTCGAGAGTAGTCCCAAGAGTAGCCTAGGGACGAGTTTTCGACCGTGCTTGATTGTTTACGTTTTTTTGTTGGGCCATTGTTTTATCAACGTCGTGCAAAATCCGCCTGTCGGAGGACATGCCCGACCTAATGGTAGCGCGATGGCTGTAACGGTTCCTGATGCGGGCCACCTGAGCCGCCTAAATGGCCATTGATCCCTAGGGCAGCGAGAGGGAGAAAACAGGATCCGGGCTCTGAGCTCTTTATATTGGCAGAGCGGCCAATTGCCAGCAGCACTCCGTGCCTCGATTCTGAGCCCCGCTGTGACTGGATTCGCCGTGCGTGTGGGGCCCACGCTCTTTTCTACGAGTTCCCTGGATAGCGGTACGTTTCGTCCTTCCTCGTCCCGTTGTCCCCTTGCAGTTCCAGTCCCTTCTGTCCTCCACTCTCAGCCTTCCCTCTCTTCTGCCTGCGGTCCTGATGCGCGCTCCTTCTCTTCCTCCCCTGTTCCTCCTTTTTCGCCCCTCCCCCCTGCCAGCTTCTCCTACCTCATCCCCCCGTCCCGTTTTTCCCCTTGTCCCTCTCTTCCCCTGGTCCCTCTTCCCCCCCGTCTCCCTTCCCCTCGTCTTTTCCTCCCACCCCTTGCCCGCTCCTCCCCCGACTCTCGACGATTTTCGGGAGTCCTTTCGGAGGTGATCGGCGATTCGCGGGAGGAGGAGGGGGAGGGGGAGGGGGAGGAGGCAAGCTAGGTGCGCTCGCGTCATATCTGACATCCTACCCCTCCCTCCCATCCCTTACCATGGCGCAGATCCCCTCTCTACTCGCTCAGTCGGATGTCGAGCAGGGCAATGATCCCGAAAGGGTATGCGATGCATTGTAGAGCACGGCATGGCATGGCGTAGAAGAGCACCGCAAAGCGTAGTATCAACCTAGCATTGCATTGCATGCCGTGGCATGGCACGGGAAATGACGCCAGCGCTGCAGCGGGAGCACGAGTCGGAACGAGCGGAAGCGCGGAAATGAGGCCAGCGCTGCAGCGGGAGCACGATTCGGAACGAGCGGAAGCACGGAAATGAGGCCAGCGCTGCAGCGGGAGCACGATTCGGAACGAGCGGGGCCTGAAAATGAGGCCGGCGCCCCAGCGAGAGCAGCATTTTGGAAACAAATGCAGGCGAAAACCCAACTCCAGGGAAACTTGTGTGTACAAAAAACAGTACATGTGGGGGGTCGGCCACTTTCAAACCGTCATCAGGGGAAGAGGGAGAGTAGTATTCATATTGAATACTTGTAGAAGGGGGAGGGGGAGGGGGAGGGGAGGAGGAGGAGGAGGAGGAGGAGGGAGGAGGAGGAGGAGGAGGAGGAGGAGGAGGAGGAGGAGGAGGAGGAGGAGGAGGAGGAGGAGGAGGAGGAGGAGGAGGAGGAGGAGGAGGAGGAGGGAGGAGGAGGAGGAGGAGGAGGAGGGGAGGAGGAGGCGGGAAGGAGGAGAGGAGGAGGAGGAGGGGGAGGAGGGAGGAGGGAGGAGGAGGAGGAGGAGAGGAGGAGGAGGAGGAGGAGGAGAGGAGGAGGAGGAGGAGGGGGAGGGGAGGAGGAGGAGGGGGGGAGGAGGGGAGGAGGAGGAGTGGAGGGGGGAGGAGGAGGAGGAGGTTCGAGGAGGGGAGGGAGGAAGGGGGAGGAGGAGGAGGGCGGTCCTCGGGGGCCAGGGCATCCCTCGACCCTCCTCCTCCTCGTGATCCTCCTCAGGGCTGCCTCGCTGGTCCTCGACCCTCGATCCTCCTCGATCCCCGCCTCGATCCTCCTCGATCCCCGATCCTCCCCGATCCTGGATCCTCCTCGATCCTGGGTCCTCCTCCTCGATCCTGGTCGATCCTCCTCCTCCTCCTCCTCTTCCTCCTCCTCCTCCTCCTCCTCCTCCTCCTCCTCCTCCTCCTCCTCCTCCAGGTCCTCCTTCTCGGCCCTCGCTCCTGCGGGCCCTCGAGCTGCCTCCTGGATCCGCCCCCGCCCTTGGCCCCCCCTTTCTGCTGCACGTTTCGAGCGGGATCGATCTCGATGATGCTGCCAGGGCCTGAGCCCAAGGGCGGGCACGCCCGGCGTGAAAGCGCCGCAACGCCAGGAGCTGAGGGGACCAAGACTCCGAGCCGAATTCAACCGTTCAGTGTCGTTTAACCGACGCCTGCAGTCGAAGCCGATGGTGAGGATGGGTAGCCTTCCCAAGGGTACTCCTGCATCCGTGCATCTCTGGTCCATGCCTGACTACTTTCGATGGCCCGCCGCGCTCGAGAAAGCCTCAGCACGGGCGTCCACGGGGCTTGCATCCTCATCGCGCATCCTTGCTATCAGTTTTGACTGAATCCCCATCCCCGTCATCCAGACCCCCCACCATCTCAGCCCCTCGATTGGGATGTACCCATCGAAATCCGAAGGAAATGGCAAATTCCCCCATGTAGGGGGGTAAATCGGCCAGTGGGGCCCAGGCCGCACCCATGGGGATAGGGGCCGGTTAAACGATGCGCAGAAGCGAATCCAACCGTGGCGACGAGGGCTCTTCACGACGAGCAGCGATCGGTACATTCGAGGTCGATTGGTAGGTTGGCCCTCGTTGTCATGTGTTTTGCGAGGCAGTGCCGTCTGCACTCCTACGGCAATGTGGCTCTCGCAAGGGTCTTGTATCCTCTCGCGTGTCCTCTCCAATGCACCCCGAGTCTATTCCTGCAGCGCATGGCGGTAGCGAGCTCAGTGAAATGCAAAGGAACAGTGGGAAGACACGTCTTTTGCAGGCGCTGATGTTCGCCTGCAGGGAAAAGCTTGGCCCTCGGCGATCTCTTCGCCTCCGGTGCTCTCCTCCTGTGCGTTCTCGGCGGCAGGGCCCCTCCCGCTGCGCATTTGGGGCCCAGTGGCCTTCGGCGAAGAGGTCCGTGCTCTCGATCCGCGCTCCCGCGGCCGGGTTCCACCCCTCTTGGTATCGCTCGGACGCGTGCGTTTTTCCTCGGCGAGGACCATCGAGCAACAAAACAAAAAAAACACGCACGAAACCGACGAAATGCACGGGGAATGGACGTCCGAGCGATGGCAGGCCCTCCCGCTCCCCCCTCGCTGCTTCGGCCTCCCGCGAGGAGCAGCGCACAGCGACTGCCGGGGCGGTGCCGGCCGCCGCCAGGGCCGCGGCGACCGTGGCGGGGGGCCGGGCGCCCCTGGCGCCTCCGCGGTGGTCCTCTGCTCCTCCACCTGCCCCAGCTCGGCGGCGAGCCCCAAGGGGGGAGGCGGGAGTGGGCGGGCCTGCTCCGAAGGCTCGGCAGTCCCCAGGCCTTCTCGAGAAGCTCTCTCGGCCTTCCGAGATGGCACTGCGCGCTTCTCAGAAGACCGGAGGGCTTCTGAGGAGCCCCGCCGCTTTCTGTCGGGGGCGGCCAAGAGGGGGGTGATGACTAGGGGTGGTGGGACATCACGGCGGGGGCCATGATATCTACCCAGATGTCATTGCCCCTCGTCTTATTTCAGTACGTTCCTGCCGCCCCTCTGGTCTGCGCACATGCCTCGGGCATGATTTGCGTCCCTCCCTCTTGGGCACCCCCCTCTTGGACGCCCCCGATTCTGAGAGGGCCGTCTCCCCCTCCCTCACCCTCCCCCTCGCTCGGCGCCGAGCTTCTCCACCCGCCCCAGCGCGCCCGCGCCCGGCGCGGCCCGCCGGCCCCGCACAGCCGCTGGCGCCACGGCCGCACACAGTGGAGGCCCGTGCCAAGAAGCACCCTGCCTGCCTCCAGGCTGCCCTGGGCCAGGAACCCATGCACGTCCTGGGGCCTCGGGGCTGGGTCCCTCGTGGGTCGCAGCGACCCCGCCCTCCTGCGTCGGCTGCAAGTGTGGCTGCTTGACCTCGGTTGGCCACCTGCATCGCGAGGTGGAAGGCCTCGCGTGGTCGAGCCCCCTCCTGTGCCTGGAGGACCCCCTGCTGCATGCAGCTGGTACCGACCCCGCCGCCGGGTCCCTTCCTCGATACATGACCAAGCCCCCCTGTCTTGGGGGAGGGCCAGGAGGGGGTTGAGGACTCGGGGGGGGGGGCCTCAGGGCGGGGCCGCGCACGTGCCGCGGGCCATGATTTGCGGCCCGGGCCGCCCCACCCCGGCTCCACCCCCGCCCCCGCGCTCGGCCCCCCCCCCCCCCCCCCTGGACGCCCCCCTCTTGGGCGCCCCCGGCTCTCGGCCGTCCTCCGCTCCCGCGCGCGAGGGGCCCCAGGCACGGGCGAGCTCCTGGTCAGCGACTTCCGGGCGGCCGCGGGGCGGCCCCTGCGCTCTCGCCGGCGCTGCCGCTTCTCCCAGCAGTTCTCCTCCCCTGCGCCTGGCGCGGCGTGGCGGACGACGGCGACGACCACGGCGACGATCGCGGCGGCGGCGGCGGCGGCGGCGCCTGCGGCGGGCGGCGGCGACCACGGCGACGACAGCGGCGGCGCGGCGGCGCGTGCGCGCGCGGCGGATCGGAGCGCGGCGCGTCGGCGCCGAGGCGGCGGACGCCTGGGCGCTCGGGGTGTGCCTCTACGAGGCCGCGCGCCACGCGCCCGCCGTGGCCCCCCGCGCGGAGGGCGCGCGGCCTGCGCCGCCCGGCGGGCCGCGCTCTGGCTCGCCCGTCGTCGTGGGGCACGGCAAGTCAGAGCCCCGAATCATCAGGGGTAGCTCGGGTCAGGGCTGACTCGGGGTCCTTTTTTCGGGAGTCCGAGCCCGAGTTACCCTGGGCCCGAGTTGCCCCGGAGAATTCGGGCGTCCAGAGCCCCACATCCTCAGGGGTAACTCGGGTCAGGGCTGACTCGGGTTCCTTTTTCGGGAGTCCGAGCCCGAGTTACTCCAGGCTCGAGCTGCCCCGGATAATTCGGGCGCCCAAGCAAGGGCATGGGATCAAGGGGGGGACCAAGCGTACCCCAGAACAGACGCAGCCCAGAGCGGGGGCCTCAGGGCCCCCTTCGGGGCGCCCAGGGGCTGCGTTTTGGCGGCCCCCGAGGCCGGAAGCGTGGCCGCTGCGACACCTCACCGGGGGGGTTCGTCGTCCTGGGGGTACGTTTTTAGCGCTTCCCAATTGGATAAGGAGTCGTTGGATCAGGAATCCAGGGTCTGGAAGCCGGTGGAGCTCAAGTCGCGGATTGGCCATGGGTATCACCGCCGTCTTCATCAGATAGGGAGTCCACCAGCGTCTGCAGCTTCCTGGGCACGTTCCCCAATCAACGCCCCCACCGTATCGATGTTCGACGGCTTTCTCTTCTGTTTCATCTCTGAGGTCTGGGCGCTGGATTTTTGTTTGTCGTGCACCGGGCGTTTGAACGTTTCCGCCTGGTTGCGGGTCCCGGGGCCAGCACATACCGGTCCGGCTCGAAACATGCAGCAGGAAGATGGGGTCTAGGGCTTCTGTGGTTGTGATGTTTCGCGATGCTGCATTCTTCCACAACGTCAGATATCAGGGCATGATCCAGGTGCCTGCAGCAAGTCCCACATTCTGGGTGGCGAAGCTTGGAGCACCGAAGGCCTTCACACGCGACACCTCGCGTGTCCACTTCTTCAGGAGCTCTGATAGGGCTTGCTTTGGCCGTTTTGGGTTCCTTTCGGATAGTTCTGGGCGTCTCTTGTGGCCCTCTTGAGATTTCTCGGATTCATGTGTTGCTTATTTTTGTTTGAGCTGTGTTGGGTGCTTTCTGAAGCAAACTGATGAATCACCTTGGCAATCTTGGTAGCCTTCCTTGACTGCCTGGAAAACCATGGAGAGATTTCGAGGGCCCCAGGGAGGAGGAGGAGGTGGAGGACGGGGAGGAGGGGGCTGGGGAGGAGGGGGAGGGGGAGGAGGCAAGTTAGGTGCGCTCGCGTCTACATCTGACATCCTACCCCACCCACCCATCCCTTACCATGGCGCCTGATTGTCTCTTCCGCAGGACGCGTGCTCGACGGGAACCTGTGGCTCCGCGTCGCGTGTGCGTAGTGGTGTTGGTGCGCGTGCGTGCGTGTGTGTGTGTGTGTGTGTGTGTGTGTGTGTGTGTGTGTGTGTGTGTGTGTGTGTGTGTGTGTGGGGGCGTGTGTGCGCGTGTGCTGTGGTGTGACGTGGTGTGTCGGCGTCTTGGTGGTTTGGTGGTGGACCCGGTGCGTACGTGCGTGAAGGCGGTGGTGGTGGTGGCGGTGGTGTTGTGTGTGTGTGTGTGCGTGTGTGTGTGTGTGTGTGTGTGTGTGTGTGTGTGTGTGTGTGTGTGTGTGTGTGTGTGTGTGTGTGTGTGTGTGTGTGTGTGTGTGTGTGTGTGTGTGTGTGAGTGCGTGCGTGCGTGCGTGCGTGCGTGCGTGCGTGCGTGCGTGCGTGCGTGTGTGTCTGTGTGTGCGCGCGTGTGATGTGGTGTGACGCGGTGTAGCGTGGTGGTGGTGGGTGGGGTAGTGCGGTGGTGGTGGCGGTGCGCGGTGGGGGTGCGCGTGCGTGCGTGCGTGCGTTGGTGGGTGGAAGTGGCGGTGGGTGTGCGTGCGGCGGGGCGGGCGTGGTGCGGCGCGGTGGTGGCGGGCGGATGGGCCGAGGGGGGGGGGGGGGGGGGGGGGGCAGGGAAAGGAGGCCCCCGAGCTGGGGCGTCGACTGCATCCTGACGACGGAGGCAAAACACCGATCCGAAAATGAGGCCCACGCTGCAGCGGGAGCACGATTCGGAACGATTCGGGAGCAGAAATGAGGCCGGCGCCTCAGCGAGAGCAGCATGTTGAAAAAAACGCATGCGAAAACCCAACTCCCGGGAATCCTGTGTGTAAAAAAACAGTACGCGGGGGGGGGTCTACTACTCCCAGCACGCCATCAGGGGGAGAGGGAGAGTAGTATTCATATTGAGTAGTTGTAGATGGAGGAGGAGGATGAGGGAGGAGGAGGAGGAGGAGGAGGAGGAGGAGGAGGAGGAGGAGGAGGAGGAGGAGGAGGAGGAGGACGGGTCGCGTAAGCCCTTCGGAGAAACCCTCCAGCGGGGCCGTGTCATGATTGCAGAAGCTCTGCCTGACCGCACTCGGCATTCTCGAGCGCCTCAGCCTGCCAGGGGGGCACGGTGACGGATCTCCCACGGCTTAGACGAGATTTGGTGATTTTTCGATTGTCTCATGAAGTTCTCGACGATTCTCGAATGCTTGCGGAGGTTCGGAGATTCTCGAAGGCTCTCTGAAGCTCTTGGACACTCCTGATGATTTTGCTTTCTTCTTCGCCGTCGTCGTCGTCATCGTCGTCGCCGTCGCCGTCGCCGTCGTCGTCGCCGTCGCCGTCGTCGTCGTCGTCGTCGTCGTCGTCGTCGTCCTCGCCTCCGCCGTGTTGGCATAGGGCGTACCCGCGTGCGGACGTGCAGTCCGAGGGTGCTGGGACACTGGCGGTCCCCCGCAGCACGGAGTCATGGCGATAGTCTTTCTCATCCCGCCGGAGGGGCCCGCGAGTTCGGATGTCTGGGGCGACAGCATCACAACATACAGAACCCTCTGCCATCGTCGTCGCTTCCACCGTCGTCGCCGTCGTCGCCGCCGCCGCCGCCCCCGCCGCCCCCTCCGCCCCCTCCGCCGCCGCCGCCGCCGCCGCCGCCGCCGCCGCCGCCGCCGCCGCCGTCGTCGTCGTCGTCGTCGTCGTCGTCGTCGTCGTCGTCGTCGTCGTCGTCGTCGTCGTCGTCGTCGTCGTCGACGTCGCCGCCCCAGCCCCACCGCCCTCCCCCCGCCCGCTGGAAGCGTTTCTCTGTGTGGTTCCGCTGGTGCCTGCTGCTGCCGGGCGCTCGCCCCTCTGCTCAGCACTGCTCTCCTCCGCCCTTCCTCTGTGCCGTTCCTCCCCTGCTCTCCTCTCCTTCCTCCTCCTTTCTGCGCTCTCCTCCCTCCCTCTGCTCGGTCCGCCCTGCCTCCTCCCGTCTCTCCGGCTCTTCCCAGCCATCCTGTGCTGTTGGGCCCTTGATTTGAACACGCATCGCCTCGCGTCCTCCCTTCCTTTCCTCCCTCCATCCTCTTGCCCTTCCTCCTCCCTCCTCCCATTCCTGCCTCCCTCCCTCCTTCCCTCCCTGTCGCCACGGCCCCGGAGGCTCTCCCTCCTCATTCCTTCCCTCCTTCCTCCCTCCCTCCCTCCTTCCTCCTCCCCCTCCTCCTCCCTCCTCCCATTCCTGCCTCTGCCCCGCACGTGTCGTGGCCCCACAGGGAGCTCCACCTGAGGCCCAAGTGGCTGGGCGCGAATGCCTGGTACACGAAATTTCGGCGCACCCCTCAAACGTTTCGTTGCTGGCCGCGAGTTCGTCCGCTGCGCCCAGTGTCGGGTCGGAAGAACAGGAGTGATTGGGAACGGAGGGGTACGACATCTGCCGCATGCAGCCGTTTTCAGCTCTGCCGCCAGGTGCTTTCCTCGATTAATGGGCGCATCCGGCGCTGGGAGGCGCTGTGAAGATCATCTGCGCGAGCTGATTCGCTAATCCCCTCTTTTTTGCTGCCCTTCCCCTTCGTCCGACATGGCCGTAGCTGTGCCCAAGGTCAAGGGAGGAACAAAACACCCCGCCCCTCATAATTGGCGTTTGCTAAACGACCCTGGGGGTTTACCAAACAGCCTTGCCCCCTTCGAGTCCTTCCTTGGGTGCGTGGACTCGACGGCCTCGCTTGTCGGGCTTCTTGTTGCTATGAGGGTGGCTTTCCTGCTCTCTGCAAAGGGGGCGGTGTCCAGTGCACCCTGCCAGCAGCCCGTCGCTGCACGCACGGTCTGCCGCGCGTCCAGCCCTCCAGAGCCCGCCGCTTCACGGGGGCGTGCCCCGTGCTGTTTGGGGATCGGCCCGCTCTGGTCAGCCAGCGTGCAGCCTCGGCGCCGAGGCGCGCCGAGGGCTGTGCACAGCTGAGCGACGCAAACGGGGTCGTCTGCGCCGACATTGGCTCGTAAGCTGCCCGCGTAAGGTCGCGCGAAAACGCCCTCGTTTCCAATGTAGCGTGCCGCGCTGGCGGCCCGCGTAAGCCGCCGCGTAAGGCCGCTGTGTCACCTCGCGGAAGATCCATTTTTGATCGTTGCTCACCTGGCACGAGGGTTGAGAGCTCGGAGGAGGAAAAGGGTACACATACAGTCAACCCGCACAGTTAGGATGAGCAGCTTTCCAAGGCTGTCCTTGCATCCTTCCCCTGCGGTCCATCCTTGGTCGCTTTCGCTGGCCGCGCCCCGCTCGCAAAGTGTCGGCATGGCCTTCCGAGGCCCTTGTATCTTGATCGTGCGTCCTTAATTTCGTACGGGTTCACTGTGCCGCTGCCCTCCCTTCGTTTGGGGGCTTCCTGGGAGGCCCTCGTCGCCACCGCTGGATTCGCTTGGAAGTTCTGGTCAGAACGCGCCCCGGGAGAGGTCCGGGGAGCAGCGGTATCGGCACCTCGTGTATCCCCCCGAGAGCGACCTTGGCTCTGGAGGAGGTGCCCTCCTTGTTCTGCCCGTGTGCTCGGGCCCTCCGGCTCCCCTCCGAACCGACTTTGCGCAGCAGCTGCAGCACCGCGAGAGAACCACGGCCAGAGTCCCAGACCCTCTCTTCCCTGCGTCGCTGTTCGAGCCCAGAGCGAAGCATATGGCAGGGCCCAGATTCGACTGACTAGACGTAAGAGTGACCTTCCGCCAGACTGACCTTTGCTGCGGGCGCAGGTGGGTCCCCAGATGGCTGGAAACGAAGCGGGAGCAGCGGCTTGCGCGCCCAGGTTTGGTCCCCCGCGGCCCCCCAAAAGCCGCGCACCAAAGGTCACTCTTACCCAGGGTCACTCCTGCGTGTAGCCGACAGATCTCAGGGCTGCAGCGGCCTGCGCTCGGGGCATCGCGCGCGGCCTCCTGTGGCCATGCTCCGGCTGTGCCTCGGACACCTCCCGGGCTCCGTTCTGGAGCTGCGGCGCCTCGTCGCCTGCCTGCGGTCAGAAGGCGGTGCATCAAGGACCGCCTGGGGCTCCAGGGGGGGCTCTAATTTTCGGGCCGCTCCTCGGATCTGGGTCGGGGAGTTCAGCTTCGAAGAACGCGCAAGCGCATGAACATGAACTTTCGGAGCTCCGCGCGGATTTCTTGGCTCGTCGCTAGCCCCCCCCCCCTGGCGGCGTCTCCGGCGCCGCCCCCTGGCGTGCTCTGCGCGCCAGGGAGGGGGGCCCAGCGCGAATCCTAGAACTCCGCGTGGAGCTTCAAAAGTTGTCCTTCCTCTATGCTCATGCCGTTTTTTCTTCCTCTATCCTCAGATCTGGGTCGGGGAGACTGGTCGTTGCCGAGGGTCGCCGAGGCCAGAACAGGCTCTTTCGTTATTTCTTCTTCTTCTGCGTCCCCCATGGCAGCACGATGATCTGATTCCCTGTTTCCTTCCTTCCTCCTCCCTCCTCCCTCCTCCCTTTTTTCCCGAGCATCCGACCCCCGCTCTCTGGGCTCCTGGGGCTCCCACGTCTTTCAGGTGGCGCCCCATGCAGGCCCTTGCCGCTGCCCCGTGTTCTAATCTCACTGAATTCGACCAGTGTGAGCATCAAGACCCCACCGCCTGCCCCACTACATTCGGACGGGTTCCCACCTGTATATTGTCTGTGCGCATGCCTTGTTTACCGTCCAGATTGCGTTCCACTCCTGGCAACGGGAGGTGCTCGCATGGCAGAGGTGTTCACAGGACTCTGCTCGGCAAGCGGGATGACGGAGTTTTTCATACGGCCTCTAAGAAGGCCTACCCTGGTGGCCTTTGTAAGGCTCTGGCTGAAAGTGTTGTGGCCAGCGCATGCACTCTAATCGACTCCTCGTGCGAGGAGCCAGTGTTTCAGTACTTTCAGGATTGTGATGAAATTCGTGACGGGCTCATCACCTTCTACGCCGCCATGCAGCGAGATGCGCCAGAACCCCCAGCCCCTGCCCCCGATTTTGCAGGAGTCCAAGGCAGGGCGGGCCGGGGGTCTAGGCGCACCGACCCAGAGCTTTCACGTTTCGACTCTTCTGACTCTGAAGGGCCAGAGGTTTCGGATTCTCCCCCGCATGCCCAGGGTCATTCCGAACAGGATCCTGATGAGCAGCGAGTAGCAGATTTTCTGCTTGGCTCCCCTGAGGAGCAAGCTGCGTCCTGGCCCTTTCTTCCTTCCCCCCCTCCGCCCCCTGCTCCCCTTCCCCTTCTCCGCCTCCCTAAGGGCCAGGATTGAGGCCAATCGTGCTGCAGCTCGGCGAATTCGGGCTGAAAGGCGACATGCTCGCGTTGCTCCGTGGGCCCAGCAGGACCCGCCCCGCAACTTCCTCTTCCCAACGCAGACGCAGGCACCATCGCCCCGACAGGTCGATGCGGCACGGAGGGACTTACAGGCCTGGACTGTCATCCAGGGCTAGGCGCCCCCGTGTTTCCCTCCCTCTTTTTTTGTGCTCTTCCTCTCTTGTCCAGAGCTTAGAGCCTCATCGTACTGAGCACAGGGAGCCTCCCTCATGCCCGCGTTGCCAACCTCCCTTTTCCCTCCTCCTCCCTCCTCCCTCCTCCCTGTTCCATCGTCCCTCCTCCTCCCTCCTTCCTCCTCCTCCCTCCTCCCTCCTTCCTCCTCCCCTCTCCCTCCTCCTCCCTCCTTCATCCTCCCTCCTCCTCCCTCCTCCCTGTTCCATCGTCCCTCCTCCCTCCTCCCCCCCCTTCCAGAGCGGCGCGAGCCCGCTGTCACGCGCGGCAGGTCGTGGCGCTGCAGAGGCCCTTCGACGCAGGCGGGGCGGGGTGGGGTGGCGCACAGAGGCGGGCCAGTGCCTGGCGGTGCCCCTCTGCCGCCATGGCTCCACGGGAGTGGGGCTGGTCGCGTGGGCCCAGGACCGCGACCCCGACATCGCATCGTGAAGAATCACGGCGGGAGGTGCGTGGCCGTTTTCGGCCTCCGGGGGCCCTCGCCGGGCCTCGGGGCCGTCCAACAACGACGCAGGATGAGAAACCAGTCCCGGGGAAAGGGTCGGGACTTTCGGGGGCCGCGAACTGAAAACTTCAGGACCTCGCATGTTTGGGGATAAATAGCTCCAGATCGTTCAGAACGCTCTCGGAGCATTCTGGGGCGCTCTGGAACGGCCGCGGCGCCCGATGCATCCTCCAGAGCTGCCGGATCTCATGGATCCCTGCCGGTCTGATTCTGTCCCTGGTCATGGCTTCGTCTAGTTGGAGCGGCAGTAATAATGATGAACAGCTTCGCCCCGTGTTGACGATTTGGTAGATTGCGAATGCCTGGCGAAACCAACGGCGCAGCTTATGGCGCAGCCTGCGGCTGATTGGTGCACTGCTTGAGGCAGCGGGCGATTGGGTAGTACGCGGGGTGCTTGGCGCAACCTATGGCGAACTTGTACACCCACTGGGGCAGCGGACGATTCAGTAGGAAACCAGGGTGCATGGGACAATCCTTCGCGCAACCTATAATGCAACGCCGGGCACATTGCGGGGATCCTGCCGCAACCGATGGTGCAACCTATGGTAAATGCGGTTTAGGGTCTGGTGGCGGGGCGAATCATGGCATCCGGGGTGAACGGGGGTAGAGGGGTTGGGGTAGAGGAGGTCATCGATTTTGGTTGTTGAGTGTTGTAATCGTCTCCATCTTGTCTGGGCCATCGGGTCCTGGTCTGACTTGAACTCCGAGACCTGCGCGGACAATGGTGGTTCCCAGTCGCCGCTGTAGGGGTCCTTCAATAGTGTCAATTGTGAACTCGAGTTGCCGAGATAGCGTCCCGATCATATAATCTTGACCTGAAGTTGAGACACATTGTCGCCGCCGCATGGCCCCAGCTACTGCGTCATGCTCTGAACAAAAGGGGTTCCTGGTCGCTTGTTGCATAGTCCTGGCCAGAGCGTCCCGTCCTGAATGTTGGGGTGTCCCATTGCCGCTACAGGACCAGGCCGCAGGGTCCTGGCCTGAAGCGCTGGGAGTTCCGAGCGCCGCCGTGGGCTCTTGGCCACGGAAGAGGAGGAGAAGGAGGGAGGAGGGGGAGGAGGAGGAGGAGGAGGAGGAGGAGGAGGAGGAGGAGGAGGAGGAGGAGGAGGAGGAGGAGGAGGAGGAGGAGGAGCCTGCATTGACGTGCTGTGCCTCCGGATTGCGCGGGGCGCGTGGTGTGCCGCGCATCCTTCCTCGTACCTCCGCGGCGGTATCTCTTTGTCCCGAGCCATGTGTCCCGAACCACGTGTCCAGGCGCTCATCAGCTGTTGCGCAGCCCGCTTTCGCCCCACCGCGCCGAGCCCCCTGGCGCTGCGGCCAGGCACAGGTGTGCCGCACGGTGCTGCGAAGTCATAAGCGGCGCGGGGCGGTGAGTCGTCTATTGACAGGCCAGAAGTAGGTAAACTTGTCCTGCTAGTTTCTTGTCAATGTTCATCGTAAGCTTGTCGTAGTTAGGTCAGTGGGTCGTAAGTTGGTCATGCATTGATCGTCTATGTTTCTTTTGTTCTGCTGTTCCTCGTATGTTTTCTTGATGCTCTCTTTCTCTTGCTGAGAAGTATATCTGGGCTGGCTCTACACCTGGGCTTCCGCGGTAGATCCCCGTGGGGCCTGGTGGCGGCGTCGGGCTGATTGCGGAAAGTGCATGTTGGGAGGGTGGGCGAGGAAACCAGCTCGCCCTCGTTCGCCGCATCTGTGAGGATCCCCCGGCGACTGCTAGTCCCAGGTCTCGCCAGTGCAGCGGCCGCTGTCTCTGCCATGGCCGCCGCCGACCGTCCCACCGCGGCCGTGGTTGTCATCGTCCTCGCCATTGTCATGTCGTCCATGTCTTGGTTTCAGGGTGTGCGCTCACGTTATCGCCCTCATCGCGGCCGCCCTCGCCGCTCCCCCTACCCATTCTAGTCGTTGCCGCCGCTGCTGCAGCCGCTGCAATCCGCCGTTTTCAGTGCCTTGGCACCCGAGGTTCAAAGCTATCACGTACATGCAATAGTTACTTGGGGAGGATGACCCGTGTGTCGCGAGGCATCACCCTTGGATGCCACGGGGCTCCGCGAGCGAGGGCCAGTGGCAGAACCGTGCCCATCGGTGGCGGTAGGCCCCCGGGGGCCATGCCACGGGAGCTCAGTGGGTGGGACCTCGCAGGCGGGGCACTATCGGTGATGGCCGAACCTTTCCGATGAGCAGTGGGGAACCGACCCCAGCCCCCACAACCATTGATTTGATATGACAATGTTTTGCACTTGTGGCGGAAGTGAGTAAGTGTAGGCGCCCTATGAGCGAGGCCATTGCCGCGCACTTGGTCTAAAGTTCCTCATGTGGGGGGCAGGGGTCGCTTTTCATGCGATCATGCGAGCACAACCAGCTCTTTCCTAAGCACAAGGGGTCCCTTCAGTGCAAATGCCGCTTGGGAATAGCCCTGCGGAGCGACAACGAGCGGACTGGTGGGATCGTAGCCACAGGATCATCTGTGGCAGTGACATGGTTGTGCAGCATTTCGGAGCACTGCGAGTGGAAACCAGTACAAAGGATCTCGCAGTCCCTCGCTCTTAGTGCCCCTTCTGAATGTTTTGGCCTTCGAAACGCAGCAGGGATGAAGCTAGTTCGAGCCTGGCATTTCTCGGACGTGTGTATTTTTTCTCGGCGAGGGCCATCGAGGAGCATCCTTGATCATTTGGCGAAAAAGCCACGCACGAAACCAAACAAAAACACAGGGAATGGACGTCCGAGCGATGGCCAGCGAGAGCCCTGGAGCAGGCTCTGGGGGCCCCGAGAGGGGCGCCGGACTCGGCCGAGGTGGCCCTCGGAGGGGAGCGCACCGAGAGGGCACTATAGCACTGGGCCTGCTCGGTCCGCAGGCCTGTTTGGACACGGGCGGGATAGAATTGGCTCTGGAGCCCTGGAGGAGGCTCCGTGCCAGCTGTTCGCCGTCAACGGATCGGGGGCGGCAAAGAGGGGGGCGATGACCAGGGGGTGGGTGGGTATCATGGCGTGGGCCATGATATCTCCCCAGATTTCATGGCGCCTCTTCTTACTTCATTACGTCCCTGGCCCCCCCGCTTGGCCGCGCACATGCCGCCGGTCATGATTTGCCCCCACCCACCCCCTCTTGGACACCCCCCTCGTGGCCGCTCCCGAACGGAGAGCAGCCGGCGATGGCACGACTCGAGGAGCTACGACGTGTGCCGGCCCAGCGCGGGCCCAGCGGTGCCCGTCGGTGCGCGCGTCCTGCCATCATCGGTGGCCGAGTGGTGTGCTTGGCAGGCTTGTGTGTGTGTGCGCGTGTGAGTGTGTGAGTGGTTGTCTCGCTTGCGGTTGCACACTCCCGTCTGCTTCGCTGCACGCACGCTGTCCCCACTGCGGTCGACGCGCCCTGTCCTGCACGCACCAGACGGGGTGTCCCTCGCTTTGCGCCGCTCTAGCAGCAGGCCGGTCTCGCTCAATGCGCCGGCGCCAGGGCGCTACCTGTGCCGACCGTCTCGTCCAGAGAGCTGGGTGCAGTTGTGGTGGATGCGGCCCGTGCTCACTGAACTCGCGACCGTTGTGGCGCGCCGCCGGAGATGGGGGCTGTGTGCGAGTCGGGGGCAGCGCCAGGCGCGGATCGGCTCCGTGGGGGGATGCACCGACCCTCATCGCCCACTGATCGCCCATGGGGGCAGCCTACCCTTCGCAGGAGCGTGCGGACGCGCTGTCGGGGGCCTGTCGCCAGTCTATCGTCCATGTGTCGCCGACTCAAGGTCGATGCTTCCCCTTCTCTGGCAGGAGGGAAAGATCACACAGACACAATTAATCGTCGATTCCCCAGAAAGCATGGGAAAATATGGGAAGTGTGGGGGGAAGGCAAGAACCCAGAAAATATAGGAAAATATGGTGAATCCTTTTGTTTGTGTCTATGTATTTGTGTGTCCCAGGGCCCCTTCACCCTCCACCCCCTCTTCCTCGTCCGGTGGGCACCTCCCTCCTGCAGGCCTCCTCTCGCCCCCCCACCCCACCCCGCCCCCTGAGGAGGCGAGCGCGCGCAGTCGTCCCACGACGCGGGTCACCCTCGCGAGGGCTCAAGCGTCGTGCCTTCGCGCGTCGACCCCGCCTGCCTGCCTGAGGCCGTCGGTGTCATGGCAGCCGGCCCATTACCGTGGCACGGCGGCAGCTCCTCACTCCCTTCCATATTTCCCCTCCTGCTCCTCCTTTCCTCCTCCTCCTCCTCCTCCTCCTCCTCCTCCTGCTTCCCCTCCTCCTCCCCCTCCTCGTCCTCCTTCTCCTCCTCCTCCTCCTCCTCCTCCTCCTCCCCCTCCCTCGGTTTCGGTTCTACTCATTGTGTGAGTGGCGGATCAGGTTAGATTAAGCAGTCAGGCAAGACGTCTTTTACGCTGGTGTCCTCCTCCTCCTCCTCCTCCCCTCCTCCCTCCTCCTCCTCCTCTCCTCCCTCCTCCTCCTCTCCTCCTCCTCCTCCTCCTCCTCCTCTCTCCTCCTCCTCCTCCTCCTCCTCCATCCTCCTCCTCCTCTTCCTCCTCCTCCTCCTCCTCCTCCTCCTTCTCCTCCTCCTCCTCCTCCTTGGACCGCTGGTCTCCGAATGGCAGAAAAAATGGAAGGGAGTTGAATTGGGATTCGCGAGCACCGCCACGCTGACCAAGCTACGCTTCGCCGACGACGTGCTCCTGACCAGCCAAACTCTCCCGCGCCTGACAGCGATGTTTGACGACATTGTGCGCGCGACGAGGCTACACGGGCCCGAATTACACCCAAGCAAAACCAAAGTACTGAGCAACCAGGCGGGAAGGACCGGAAGGGCGAGCTCACGCACAGCACGTTTCCAAGACATGGATATAGAAATCGTGCCATACGAGGGCAGTATCAAATACCCCGGCCAATTGATCAGCTTCCACAAACCGATGGAAACGGAAATCCACCACCGCACGCGAGCTGCATGGGCATCACTCACGTCTCGCAAGCAGGAGCTGACCAGCAAACACTACCCACTGGCTCACCGACTCCGGTTTTTTTACAGCACTGTAGCACCAACGGCGTTATACGGAGCAGAGACGTGAACCCTCACGGAGCCTCTACGGCAGCATCTACGACAGACACAACGACGCATGCTTCGCATGATCATTAGAACGCCACGGAGACGCACAACGAAAGAAGTTGGCCCTCACATCGGCCAAGGACCTAATCTCGACGGCGCGAACAACGAAGCATAAGACCACGAAGACCGCACTTACAGCACTAGCGACGACGCAGACAGCAACCCATCACAGTGTGATGCGAAGACGGCGAAGACAGCACCACCGCAGACGAAACGGAACCACGGGTCGACTACATCCAGCGAGCGACACGACGCGCAGAGCACCTCATGAAGCTCCTCCACATTGACAAGTGGGAGACGCTGCACAAACGGGAAATATGGCGCATGGCTTCGCGAGTCGCAAATCACGACCAGACGAGGTGGACATGGCGAGTGCTGCGCTGGCACACAGTCCTCAACCCGCGCCAGCGGGGACACAGGTAGCACGGTGGCCAAAACACGCGTTGGGACGACGAGGTCACCACTTACTTACGGCAACGCAGACCTCCACCGACCGCCCACGCAAGCCCATTCGAAAGGACAACCGAACGACATCACATGGACGCACACAACCCAAGGCACCGAAGCATGGACAGCGCTCGAGCACCACTTCACCGACCTCACGTCGACCAGCGCCCAGGACTCATACCAATGACGTACAATCTCAGCGAACGTCGAGACGTCTCGCCCAACCCGCGCCGACACCGACACCAAGGGCTTTCTTTTTCTCCTCCTCCCCCTCTCCTCCTAACTTTCTGTAGGTCTCGCATTGCATGTATCCAGACACTTCAGATTCTAGAGGCCATGGCCTCACCCACCTGGTCTGCTCTAGGCCTGGACGCTGTCCGCCACGGTGGTCGCATCGCATCGCATCCTCCTCCTCCTCCTCCTCGCCCCCCCTTGCCGGAGCCGCCCGTCGGCGCCGGACTTATCCTCCCGCACGCTCAGGCGGTACGACCTCGACGGCCGCTCGGCTGGCCGCCCCGCGTGCGCGCGCGGGCAGGGGCCCCGGACGCGGGGAGTCACGGTCGCTCCGTTTCGCCCCCTCGTTGATCGACGACGTCGTGGCCCTGGACTTCGCGCTTGCGGCGGTGCGCGCCGTGCATGTCCGCCGCCGCCGCCCCAGCCGTTCAGAGCGGCGGGGGGCGCATTTGGAGGGAGCTGTTGCGCCAGAGCGCTGCGGGGTCCTCCTCGCACTCTCCTCGGGGTCCTGACTGCTACTGGCGACGTTGGCTCGCGCTCCAAGGTGGTGCCCGCGGGGCCGGTCGAGGGCAAAACGAGCTCCTGGCGAACCGCGGTTTGTTCGGGTTTGCGGCGGCCTGCGCTGGTGGTCAGCTGCTTGACACTCTGGCCCGTGGCGCGCGATCTTCCTTCTCCTCCCGTAGTGTTGTTCACGGCGGCGCGAGCCTAGGGGGGAAACGGGAAGGGGCGGGCCTTCTCAGAAGGCTCGGGAGTCCTCTGGCCTGCTGAGAAGTTTTCTACGCCTGTTCTGAAGACGCAGCAACCTGCTCACAAGGCCGGGGTCCTTCTGAGAAATACCGCTGCCTTCTCAGAGGGTCTTCTCCTTCTCACTTACCCCCCTCGCTCGCCGCCGATGCTCGTCGTCTTGCGCATGGGCGGTTGCGCCCGAAGTTGGGGCCGACATCCCTCGCATCTTGTGGATGCCGTGGGCGGCGTTCTGCCTGGAGCCGCGCCGGTGTCGGCCAGGTCTCGGGCCCCAGAGGGCGCCTCGAAGCCTCTGTGCGCCCCCGCTCGCTCACGCCCGGGGAGCGTTCTGACCCATGAGGCGCCCGCCCCGTCCCCGTTTTCCTTCGGCCGCGTCCTTCCTCTTCCCCTTGTGGTCGGCGTTCTGCTTGGAACCGCGCCGATGTTGGCCGGGTCTCGGGCCCCAGAGGGCGCCTCGAAGCCTCTGTGCGTCCCCGCTCGCGCACTCCCGGGGAGCGTTCTGACCCATGAGGCGCCCGCCCCGTCCCTGTGTTCCTTCGGCGGCGTCCTTCCTCTTCCCCTTCCACTCGCATGGTGGCACAGCTCGCTCTAACACGGCAGCCCCGCTCAAGCCTCCCGTCGCCAGCGCAGTCACCCCTTGCCTGGCCGCCGACGCAACATTGTCCCCGCCCTCGTCTCTTCGAACAGCGCCGACGTCGGGAGCGCATACCCGCGAGCATGTGCTGCTCAGGGTGTTTGTTTGGGGTTCTCTCCCCTCCGTTCTCCTTCCTTGAAGGGAACTTTACTTGTGGAGCGCATCTGTGTGTGCCGAAGGCAAACATGGCGGCTGTCGTTGAGCTCGCGGCCGCTACTGGCGCCACCGCCCCCCTTCTCCTCCCATTGCCCTTTTCTCTCCTCCCTGCCCCATCTTCCCTCTTCCTTCTCCGCCCCCCCCTGTCCTCTCTCTTCCTCCTGCCTCTCTCAAGTGGCTCCTCGCCCCCGCATGGATCGTCCTCCACTTTCCTTTGCTGTCCTCTGCTTCCATGTCGTGACCCCTTCTGGTCTCCGGCACTTGTCGCCCGTGCCTCCAGCCTTGGCCGCGCCCCGCCAGGAGGCTCCGCCCGAACTCCCAGCGCACGCGTCCCCAGACGTTCGTAGAGCCATCGAGGGACTCCTCGTGAAGGACCGCGCAACTGAGCTGCTGCTGTGATGCCTTTCGGTCGTTGAGTAGGCTCTTCCGACCTGCGGATACGTGTGCCAGAAAGTTGAGAAGAAAGAGCCCCGGCTATTTGACGCCCGATTGGGGACCCCCCCGATGATCTGTTCGAGCCAGGTCATACCCTGAATCCCAGGCGTTTCACACCTGGCGTGATTGCTCAGTTTCGAGCCTAGGGCGATCATAGTTCGATCCGGCTAAGAAATTCAACGGGAAGATGGGGTCTAGGGCTCCGGTCGTGATCTCTCGCGATGGTTCAGTCATGTTCGCAACGTGGGATCTCAGGGTAGTCACACGCTTGCAGCCCCACCTCATGTGCCCCGGGCTCGGTATGTGGCTTTCAGAGTCTGCTTTGCCAGCGCGTCAGAGACACAGCATGCGTTCTGGGGCAGCAGATCCGGAGGCGAGGGCATCCACCTGCCGTTGCGTTACACATGTATGTGCCACCTGTATGCAATGGAGTCTGCTCAGCACTGGCGTGGCGGTGCGACTTTCCTCGCCGTGTCTGCTGAATTGCGTAAGACTATCAGGTAACTAGGCGCTCGGATACACTCGCAAGGAGAAGGGCACGACTCTTCGTGTGGGGTGTGCCGAAATCGGCGGGGTGACGCCATGTGGATGCGTCCGATGGGGCAGCATGCGAAGTTCCTGGTGCGGCACGATCCGCTTGAAGGTTGTACCAATACGGGCAACAGCAAAAAGACGACACGAATACTGATGATAATAATGATGCTTCTGGTACTATTGGCAGTAATATACACAAGCATAAAAGTACGAGCGATATACTACGATTCGTATCATTATTAATACTTCTACGACGACGACGAATATTACCACCACTACTACTGCTACTACGACTACGACTACTACTACTACTACTACTACTACTACTACTACTACTACTACTACTACTACTACTACTACTACTACTGCTACTGCTGCTACTACTACTACTACTACTACTACTACTACTACTACTACTTAGTACTACTACTACTACTACTCCTGCGACCATTACGATTACTACGACTACTACGACTACTGCTACTACTACTACTACTACTACTACTACTACTCCTACTGCTACTCCTACTACTACTATGACTAATGCCACTACTGTTACTACTACTACAACAACTACTACTACTACTACTACTACTACTACTAGTAGTACCACCACTACTACTACTACTACTACTACTACTACTACTGCTACTACAGCTACTACTGCTACTACTACTACTACTACTGCTACGAATCGCAGCCGTAGTAGTCGTATTACTATTAGTTCCACTACTCCTACGACTAGTACGCGTACTACTAGTACTACTATTACTACTACTACTACTGCTACTACTACTACTACTACTACTACTACTACCACTACTACTACTACTACTACTACTATTTCTACTACTACTACCACTACTACTACTACTACTACTACTACTACTACTACTACTACTACCGGTAAGGAGGACAATCATACGACTCAGACGAAGGGGATGATGTTGATGATGATGCTGATGATGCTGATGCTGCTTCTGCTGATGATGATGACGACGATGATGATGATGATGATGATGATGATGATGGTCGTCTACTGTTACTGATGATGCTTTCTATAGCTGATGATGATGGTGATGGTGATGGTTACGACGACGATCCTGCCGATGACGATGATGTTGATGGTGATTATGCTGCGCATGATGATCATGCTAAAATTCATGACGATGGTGATACTAATGAGGATGGAAATCATGATTCTGATGATGCGGTACATCGACAAAATGTTGCACCACCTGGTGTTGTGAAGAAAGCAAGCCGATTTAGCAATGGATGGGTCGCTTCCACCCCCCCCCTCCCCCAATCTTAACATTGGCTGCGGTCCCAGGTTCATCGAAACGGCTCGGTGATGCAACATTCTGTCGCGAGCCCTGGGGAGGGCGCCAAGGGACCTTTGCCATGTGCCCAATATTATGATCAGGGGGAGGAGGGGGGGAGGAGCAACGCAATATAGCTCACAATGCGCGGCAAATTTGGTGCAACATTTCGTCGACGTACGGCGAGTATGATGATGATGGCGATATTGTTGATGTGACTGATGATTATGCTGATGATGCTGATGATGATGAATGCTGCTGATGATGATAAAGATGATGCTTATGATGCTAATAATGATGATGACGATGACGATGATGATGATGATGATGATGATGATGATGATGATGATGATGATGATGATGATGCTGATGATGATGATGATGATGATGATGCTGATGATGATGATGATGATGATGATGATGATGGTGATGACGATGATGATGATTATGATGCTGATGCTGATGCTGATGCTGATGATGATGATGGTGGTGGTGATGATGATGATGATGATGATGATGATGATATGTTGATGGTGATGATGAGGAGGAGGAGGAAAAGGAGCAAGAGGAGGAGGAGGCGGAGGGGAGGAGGAAGAGGCGGAGGAGGAGGAGGAGGAGGCGGAGGAGGAGGAGGAGGCCCCACGCGCACAGCGCCTCGGAATGTCAGAGCGCGCGGTGCGCCAAGGGGCGTGCTGCCCGCTTTGCAAGTGCGGCCCCTCGCCGCCCAGCATACTGCGAGTGGCACGACCAGCGGTCGTGCAGCGCCAGCAGCACGTGTCGGATAGGTGGAGCTGTGCAAGAAGACCCTCCAGTAGTGACAACTGGGGCCAGCCCCACAGCGGGTGTCTCTCTTTTTCCCTCTGGGGCGTAGCACGGTCCCTGGTATGAGCTTTCCCTGGCCATTACTGCTTCTCCCTCCTCCCTTCCTCCTCCTCCTCCTCCTCCTCCTCCTCCTCCTCCTCCTCCTCCTCCTCCTCCTCCTCCTCCTCCTCTCCCCTCCGGATGTGGTGGCATTCGCTCGGCCGCCCTCTACAGAACACTGCCGCTGCCTGGGAGCGGCACCGGCTCGTCAATGGGTGCAGTGCTAGCCCTCTTGAGGGGTGGCGGACTGTTCGGTGGCGGGGGGGTGGGGGGCAAAGCACAAGGAACGGCTTCGTCCTCGAGGGCGGCTGGCATCCCTTCCTCCCCGGCAGGCGGCGGGAGGCCGCCCGAGCGCAGTCGGCAGTGCCGCGGCGGCGGGAACCGCCAGCGGCCGCCTGTCGGCGGAAGCCTGCCGTCGTCCCGCGTCCCGGTGGAAACGTCCTGAGGTTTTTCGCCGTTTTCGGGCCCCTTGTGGCCATTCCACGGGCCCCAGGATTGTCCGAAAACGGCGCGGGGGGAAGAAACATTGTCCTGGGGGAAGGCTCCAGGGCCCAGGACCCGTTTCTCACAGGGCCCGTTTCTCCCATGCTGAGTGTGCAGTTGTTGGGAGCCCCCGCAGAGATCTCCGGGAGTAAAGGGGGTTGCGAGAGACAAAGAAGGAAGCTCGGCGAAAAACGGAGGAAGTAGAGATCGTCCCTCCAAGACTTGTCAGCGTTTTGGACAAGAACCGTCGGCTGTCGCCGAGAGTAATGGGGGCTATTTAACCCCAGGGCGCCGCGTCCAAGAGGCCTTAGTTCCTGCATCTCTCTCCAAGAAAAAACAACATGGCAATGTTCGCAGACCTCCGTGGCAGCTTGTTTTTTCCTGGAGAGTCGACCCCCGGAAGTCTCAACCTATTTCCTGGGACCGGTTTTTCATCCCGAGTCGATTCGGTTGACGGTCCCGAGGCACGGCAAGGGCCCCCAGAGGCCGAAGATAGGGAGCAACTTTGCGTCTTACTTTGTATGAGTCGAGGTGGTCTGGGTTTTCGCATCCAGGGTTCTTGGGGCCGCCCACGTGGCCCAAAGTCCTCCCTCGCGCTTCGATCAGGAGGGAAACAGACACAGGTACAACTCCAAGTATACTGCCATGAACATAAAAGGAAAACGATGGGCAACGGAGTTAAATGAGACGCCCGGCCTGTGCGCGGTGCAGAGGGCATCGCGGCTATTGTCGAGGCGGCCTCGTTGAGGGTGTCGTTGCGTTGATGGGGCTCGGCGCGAGCCCCACTCCCTTCTCAGTCCCGTCCTCCCCCTCTCCCTGTTCCTCCTCACTCCCCTCCTCCCCCTCCTCCTCTTCCTCCTCCTCCCCCGCCCTCCTCCCTCCTCCTTTTTCTCCTCTTCCTCCTTCTTCCCCCGCCTCGTCGCGTAGAGGTGTCGTCGCGTCGAGGTGTCGTCGCGTCGAGGGGCGGTCGTGGCTTGCGGGCTGGAAGCTCGGGCCACCCGCGGCCGGTCGGGGCGCCGCAAGCGCCCCTGGGCCGCCCTCAAAGAGGCACGGCCGCTCACAAGCGTCCCGAGCCGACGACAGCGTGGGACAACTGTTCCCGGGACCATCCAACAATTGTATCGTCGGAGGTCTGGAGAGGAGGGGGAGGAGGAGGAGGAGGAGGAGGAGGAGGAGGAGGAGGAGGAGGAGGAGGAGGAGGAGGAGGAGGAGGAGGAGGAGGAGGGGGAGGAGGGGGGGAGGAGGGGGAGAGGAGGGGGAGGGGAGGAGGAGGAGGAGGGGGATGGGGAGGAGGCGGGAGAACTGTAATGCTAGTCCGTCGGCGCTGCGCAGCATCGTCCGTGGTCGCTGCGCAGTGCTTCCCCTTGCAGCCCAGGACCCCTGCGACCGCATGCCGCTGCAGGAGGCCACTCCATTCACCTGGCGGGAGGGAGGAACAGACAATGAGCCTGCAGGGGCCAACCGTGGAGGCTGGAGGAGAGAGCGGCCCATGGAGGGGAGCGGGCCAGACGGAGGGGAAGGTGCACAGGAGGGGAGAACGAGAGTGGCTGGGGGACTAAAGGAGCCTGGGGCAAAGGCGAGAGATAGCGACAGTTTGTGCTCAAGCCGCCGGCCGCCAACATATTACTGCGCCTCATCGCGAGGCACACTACTTGCCATTGAGACCGACATGGCCCGTCGCTCCCACAACGATCTCCAACTTCTGGAACTATCGTTACTACGGTACAACAGAGTTGGATACGCGCTTCGCCTTAGGCGAAGCGTATGGTTGGGCCTCCCAACCCCCTTCAAACTTGGTAGCGGAGCTGGCCTGTGGTGGTCAGCTCTAGCTCTATCCTTCACCATCCACGGACTATTCGGTGGACTACTGACATGGTGGAACATCAGGGTGCAGTGGGTTTGCGCGCAGGAATGTACACATATACCCACAACCGCAAGGACACTTGCAGCGCTACCTCCGTTTTCGCGGAGGCCTGTTACATGAGTCCGACTTCCCTGCGCTACTACACTCCTGAAGTCCACCCTCCTACTCCACTTGGGAACTTGTTTGAAGACGTAATGCACGGTCACATCGATACGACACTGTGCCGCCTCCCCCCCACGCAGGTTACGACGAAAAATCAGCACCCACACACCTGCACGCATCCGACCACGACCGAAGGGGCCATTGGCTTGGTATTACCCTATTTGGCCTTCAATGGGTCGCTATCGGGTGCGCTGTCAGGCATATGCAGCGTGGCGGAGACGAAATACGTACTACCCCCACTGGGACCCTGCCGGTAGCGTACCTTTCTTCGAATTCGCTCGCGAGGTACATGCCTGGATCAACGTGACTACAGGCAACATGGCCCCCTCCCAACAGGCCGCGGCATTACAGCGTGGCCTGGGAGGGCTCGCAAGGATCATAGCCATGAGAGTACCTTCCTCAATCCTTATCTTTGGCGTGAGTATCTGTGGTCGCCACACCGACGGCGCACCCTACATCATGTTCTTCCTCAGCACGAAGTTCGAACATCTTAAGAGGGAACGCCAAGTTAATTCAGGAACGGCTCTCATCGACTTTCGCGTCCACGCGGGAGAGCGGATCGACCAGACGTTAGCACGCTTTACGCTTTCAGACAGCACGCTTTGAGGCCGAGACGGCAGGCTAACAGTAATATTGTTCAGAGCTCTGGGTGTTGGCACGTCGATTGTACAGCATCTATTGCAAACACTAAATCACCAAATGCCAAGAACCCAGCAACAGTTTGATTTTCTACCAAAGCGCATGAGGTCCTATGCTCACATTGCTGAGCGAACCCTTGGCAGCAGTGGTGGTATATTCAGCCACGGTCATCGTGCCGAGACGCTTCACACCGACACCAATGCAGGGCAACCTGCGAACAACGTCTGGAAAGACGACCCGCAGCCAACTGAGGCCACCACCTTATTGAGCCAGCAAGGTGGTCAGCTTACGGGGTCGCAAGACTCCTGGGCTAGCTATCAGGGACCGTCGGCAACGGCGGCCCCTGCCCAAGCCACTACCCTTGTAGGCTCTGCGGGGCAGCCCGCCGGGTTTGAATTTGACTCTGCTACCGAGGCCGATTCTTAATCAGAGGAGGGAGCTGGTGCCCTGGATTATTCTAAAAATCCTTGTGCATCTCACTGAAGAGCAACAGGCGCAGTGGTTATTCCTAGGATACCAGCAACACAATCGCCGTTGGAGACGATTCATGCAGAAACCAGCTCGTGAAGTACGACGCGCGGTCCGACGGGCGTTTAGGTCAAAGTGTAAGGGTAGAGGCAAGGGTAAAGGTAAACGACGGCGGCTACATGGCAGAGGTATGTTGGCATCCTTGGCATCCCTTACTGGGCCACAATACGAAGAAAAGGTTCCTGGGGACAGGTAGAGGCCGCAGGCGCACCTCAGGAAAGGGCAGGGGGCGTCGGGGCAACCCGGAGGATGCCAGTGGAAAAAGCCATGGGATGTGATATCTGTCGTATTACACAACATTTCCGTCGAGGATGCCCCCCAAGGCGATGAGGGAGGCAGGGTTTCGGCTATACACGCGGCTCAAACCGATATGGACATTCAGTATGTTGACTTGGAGACGCGATTAGTCGCGCCCGAAGACACCCCATACAACCGCTGTCCACTTCACGGCCGCCAGGTATCTGAGTGTCAGCGTGTCCCTCGAGAGGTATGCCGATGAGCTCTTCGAGGGGATCTATGTTGGCCATGACGAGGTCAGCCTGGCGGACTGGTCGGGCACTGCCCTCGCGGGGCAACCTGCGCATATTGAGTTTGTTGACGACGTCAACGTGCCCGCCGATTCGGACCGCGAGGTGGCGGGGGCACCTGCGGACCCTGATGCAACGATACTGGCAACAGAGGAGGAGCTCCGATTGATGCTCCAGCCACAGGTTATTGGCAATCCAGTATACGGAGAAACATTCGACAACATTCCTTTTGCGGGGTCGCTCGCGCGATGCGGGTGACCTTTTTCTCCGAGCGCGTCCAATGTGACCTCGGACACGGACGCAACGGAGGTTCTCATTTCACGCGCGTAATGCATGGTCGATCCACGAGCCGTCCAGTTTGGAGGCGAGTGCGTCGCAACGACGTCGACGAGGACGAATGGAGAGCTGAGTGCTATCATCCACAACGCCATGGGTTGAGCCACTCGCGCAGGCATTCGCGCGCCCGTTCCAACGGCGCACGGCGCCCGCGCTCGCCTGACCAGAGGGCCCCGGCAACTCCGCCAGGAAGGGGGCGCTCGCGGACAAGCCCGCCTCCGGGCGAGGGTCAGCCAGATGAGCCCGATGGCCCGGGCCCATTGCGTCTCGTCAGTACTGGAGATCGTGGGCTTGCCCGCCAATGTGCTTCAGAAGCAGCAGACATGCGGCGTTGGCCCGGCCCAGGCTGGGCCGAGCACGACATCAGCCACTGGCACTCACTCCATGATGTTACGCGGGGCCATCGTGGCAAGACAATGCGCGCCAACAGAGGGCGCGGTACTAAGTCGACCCGCAATCTTGAAAGAAGGGGCTCAAACGAAAGGGCCATCATTAGTGATCGAGAGGAGCCCCGAGGCCAGGTCTGCAGCTGCGAACGCTTGTGCGGACCGCAGACCAGACGGCCCGATGGGGCGCCCCCCAAGGAGCCCCAACTTTGAGAAGACACCGTGGGTCTGGACTCGCGGGGGCGGTTTAGGTCGCAGGGTAGATCCGACTTGCAATCGCCCTAGGCGACGCCTGACCAAAGATGGCTAGCAGCCACTCGCCAAAAATGAGGCCAAACACATTGAACAGAAGTGGAATAACCTCGATGAAGATCACCGCCTCCAGCGATGCAATCGAGGACCTCATGAAGCGATGGCTGAGGTATCATCTGCGGGGCAGCCCGCTTCTTCCACTCGCGAAGGTGCTAACAATCCGGAGGGCGGCGAGAGGGGTGAAAAAACCTGTTATGACCTGGGTTGTTGACCCGACTGCTGCTGCGTCTGCTCGTGATTCAGAGCGCACCTAGGAGACTGAAAGCAGCAATCCAACGGACGCCGAAATAGACGCCTCCAGGAAGATGACAGCGGACGCGGCCCTTGCCCCAGGCACGACAGTTTCATGCAATTTCAAAGAGATTGGCTGGGCATCCACCCAAGTAGTCCGAAGAGTCAATGCTGAAACATATGAATTGGACTTGAAGAGTGAGACCATTATCAAGGTCATGGCATTTTACTGGCAACAACACCTGCTTCCGCAAGACAGGCCATCACCTCATGATGCGGGGGAACCTGCGGCATCTTCTTGCGCGGGGGCGCCCGCTGAGAAACCGCCCAAGGCCCCGAATCCCCGAAGAGAGAAGCTCGGCGAGGAGGACGTCGACTTATCTCCATCGCCAAGTGCCCCAAGGTCACCAGCTCAAGCGCCACCTAGACAAAAGAAAAGGACCGGCTCAGCAGAGGCCGACCCTGGAAGCAACAAATGACACAGAGCTGCAGGGGAACCTGCCCGCAGACAGTGCTCAAGAGGGCCAGCAGCGGCCGCCGCAGCATCAGCGTTCCAAGGCAGCGGCGCCCCTACGTTGAAGGAGCTTGTATTTCTGCGTGGCCCAACTCCTGGCAGGCCCCACAGGGGGGCCGGCTGGGCGCCATCGTTGGAGGGCGCATCCAGGGCGCGCCCCTCGCAGCGAGATGAAGGTGAGAAGGCGCTGCAGTCTGCGCCCAAAGCACCGGGGGCTGCTCCGAATGTCGCAGAAAGGAAGGGTGCGTCTGAGAGTGCAAGCTCATCTGCAGCGCCAGCTGCGGCAGTGACCCCTGCGGGGGCACGCGCTGACCCATCATCTGCGCCTGCGGGGCAACCTGCCGCTATCCCTGAACTGGTCGCGGGGAGCAGGCGTCGCGGGGAGACCCTGGGCACCCCTCATCGCGCGATGGTCGACCCAGCATGCAGGCCCCGCGCCGCCGACGGCTCCGACCGATGCAGGGCGGTGCCATGCGATGCAGTGTGCGCCGCCACGCACGCTGATAACGATGGTATTCAGCGCTAGCGTGTCCGCAACATCTCGCGGACACAGCCTGCCCTCAGCAACGGCTCCCTGGCGGAATACCTAGCGCAGACATTGCGTCAGGGGCGCATCAGTACGGAGCTTCCGAAAGAGTGCGATCAGCGCGGCTGTTCGGAGTGGCTCACTACAGCCATGAGGAAAAAGCCGTTTCGCCACGACAGGGCTTCTCATCGGTTTACGGATTGCGTCAACTCGTTGGACGAGTTCGACGGCCGGGTTGACCTCCGAGACCGGCTGGAAAATAGGCCGCCGAAGAGCCGCGAGGAATGGCATGGTCATCGCTTGGGCGCCATCAAAGAATGCCTCCGAGGCCGGCACCGGGCGCGTCAAGCACTGGCCGTGCTAGAAATATGCGAGGTATT